ACCTGCCTTGTTTTCCAGGAGCCCATCCTGAATATTCATGATCTCACCCAGATCCATTCGGACATGAACCTCCCAGTGCCTGACCCGATTCTTCTCACCAACAGCCACGACGGACTGGACGGGGTAAGGTTTCTCTCTTGGCCGAGATCCCCGCTGCTGATAATTAAAACTGCATGGCCTGCTCTGCGTGGGGTTGGGGTGTTCTTGTTTAACAGCACGCCGTGGCTCTCCCAAAAGCTTGTAGGAATCGGGCTCTGGAGCCTGGAGCCGTTGTTTTTAAAGGAGGGTGCTTAGAGTCCAGGAGCCCAGCAGGGATGCTGACGTTTTCCTCATTTCCTTTGTGAGGCGGGGGTAGCTGCCGTTTAGTTTGTGAGTAAAACGTTTTGTGTGTTTTAGCCAAATATGAAAAAGAGGAAGCTGGAAGACCGCGAAGAGACCTTTCAGGGTAAGAGTCCCCGAGTCTCTCTGTTGCTCTTTCGCTGCACCTTAGGGCCGTGAAATCTCAGGAGCCCCCAGTTCCCTGTCCTGTCTGCATGAGCAGCAGATGCTGTCCTGTCCTGGAAGCTCAGGGCCTGGCCTATGGATGTTCTGATGTGGAGGAGTCGGGTTCCAGCTCTTAGAAGCATGATTTGGATTCCTCTGATAGGCGTTAAGTAGCACTAGCTTGAGCTTGGCTGACAGGCAGCTGGCCTCCCCGTGGCTCTGTGCTAGAAGCTTTCCTCACCTGGAGGCAGGCGCCAGGCTTTGGATTAAGCCGAGGCAGCAACACCTCGTACATGTGCACCAGGAAAATCCTCCGTGCCTGGCCTCAGCAGCCCGGAGCTCTCCAGCCCTTATCTAAGCTCCGTGTTTCCTCTCTTCCTCCTTCTGTGGTAATCGCTGCTGTCCCGTGCCAGTTTCCCCTTCCCCACAGGTTTACTCTAGCGGGGCTCAGGGCCTGCTGCTGGCCTTTACGGGAGGCAAAAAACTCGGGTGGACCCTCGGGGTCTGATCTCCTGGCGCAGGAGCTGCTCCTCTCTCCGTGCTCCCGCCTGGGGCTGACTGGGAGCTGTTTGTCTCCTCTGCCCCTGTAGGTACCAAAGTGTTTGTGATGCCCAACGGGATGCTGAAGAGCAACCAGCAGCTGGTGGACATCATCGAGAAAGTGAAACCGGAGATCAGGCTGCTCATCGAGAAGTGTAACACGGTGAGTGCGGGCTGCAGCGCCGCGCTGGGGCGGCGGGGACGCCAGAGGGCTTCAGATCCTAGCGAGGCAAAGCTGCTCAGAGCAGCGGGAGCAGCGCCCTCTGCCTCTGTCAATGAGGAAATTCAGGATTCATACCGCGTTCTAGAGGTGGCTGGGAGGTAGGTGTAGGGAAATGTTCTTTTCCTGAGCCCCTAGGGAGCTCCACAGCACACCTCGTGGAGGAGGAGGGTGTCTGCTGTGCAGGCTCCTTCCCCGGGGCCTTTTGCACCCTCTTTTTGCACGCTCAGATGCCCGCTGAGAGCTGCTTTGGCACAGCCAGGAGAGCTTCTTGTGAGAAGCTGTTCTTGTGCTGGCTTGTGGGGCATCCCAGCCACGTGGGAAACTATTTTCTCAGAAGTGTCGTGAGCGTGAGGGACCTGTAGGGGTTCATCACGAGCTGCAGGGCCTTAGGGGGCTTGGGAGGTCCCTGTGAAGATCCCAGTGTTGATCTGTTTTGTGATCTCTCCGCTGCAGGTCAAAATGTGGGTGCAGCTTCTCATCCCCAGGATAGAAGATGGAAACAACTTTGGTGTTTCTATTCAGGTGAGGCAGCCCTGGCCGCAAGCCCTGCTCCAGGAACATGGGTTTGGGGTTCCTCTGAATCGTTTGATGGTTTCTGGCTGCGATCATGGGGCTGGTTTAGGTTTTAAAACCCCAATCTGAGCTTGATGTGAAACTCCCAAGATAGGTTGATTTCAGAGCCCTGAAGGCCAGTTGCAGTCTCGTGATAAGGCTTCTTTGTTCCTCCCTTGCAGGAGGAAACAGTTGCTGAGCTTCGAACCGTGGAGAGTGAGGCAGCATCCTACCTGGACCAGATTTCTAGGTATGAAAGAGCCGAGCTTTTTGGGAAGTCCTCTTGGGAAAAGCAGCCTGCATGGGGAAGATGCCCCAACTTTTCTAGGGCAGGCTGGGCTGAAAAAAATAAATCTCGGTGCTCTTTGTCTGACCTTCAGTCTCTCCGTTTTCCTACCAGATATTATATCACAAGAGCAAAGTTGGTTTCCAAAATAGCTAAGTACCCTCACGTGGTAAGTAGACGGGGACGCGGAGCTCCGCGCGTTACCTGCCGCTGCTTTTTGGGACTCCTGGGGCCGCTCGTCCCTGTCCTGGAGAGGAGGGTCTCCTGTGGGAAACGGGGGGCTGTATGAGGATGGGAAATGCCTGCGTTAGAGAAGTGGGGGGGGTTCCTTTGTAAAAAAGCAGGAGCTTGGCGTGGTGTGCAGGGGGCACGCTGACCTCGGGCCGCTCAGCCGCGCGTCTGTCTGCTCTCTGCAGGAGGACTACCGCCGCACCGTGACGGAGATCGACGAGAAGGAGTACATTAGTCTGCGCCTGATCATTTCAGAGCTGAGGAATCAATATGTAAGTGGAAAGCCAGAGCTCCCCCTGGCTTCCTGCATGGCAATTTAGGGAGCCCTTTTGATCCTTTTGCTGCTTTCCCCTTTCCCTGTGATTACGCCCGGTCTGATTTGGCTCTGAGAAGAGCTCAGTGTTTGCTGCCTCCCCACCGCCTTGCAGAGACACACGGGTGTTTCCAGCTGAGCGCTCGCAGGAGTCTAGCACAAAATATTCCTTCCACTCCTGTGGGAACCTGCGATCCTAAATTCTGCAGGCAGTACAAACCCTTCCTAGACTCTCTTTTTGATGTTAGATACGTGATTTTTGTGTTAGATGTGTGAAGCAGGGGCCGAGAGCAGTGCCAGGGTGAGCTGTGCTGCTCTTCTAATCAGTGCTTGTTGTGAAAGCAGAATGCTAAAGGACTCTCCCCCTTCTTTTCTGAGTTGTGTTCTCTCTTTTCGCAGGTCACTTTGCATGACATGATCCTTAAAAACATTGAGAAGATCAAGAGGCCTCGGAGCAGCAATGCTGAGACCCTCTATTAAGTGTCAACGTTTGAACTTGAGAACTGTTCAGTCAACTAAAGACCGTCATTGCCTTGGTTTGTTACGTGACTATCGAGATGGGAAACTGGCTGGAAATAGTATTGCATTCTTAGTTAAAATCTAAAGAAATTCTCGCCTAGTTTTGTGATTGGTTTTATTCAGGTCTCAGGAGCTCTCCCTCCCTCTAGTAACTGGTAACGAAACGGCCTTGCTGCTTTGGGATGCCCTTGAGGCTACTGCAGAGTGAGAGCACCAGCCAGGCAGGATCATTCCTTCATGCCTTGCTTCCTACCTTAGTAGGAACTCCAGTAGAGACCAAGCCCGTGTCCTGTCCCGTTTTTTGGCTGGAGGCTTCCCTGGGGTCTCTGGGAGCGGGGCAGACCAGCGCGAGCCCCAGCCCGGGTGGCGGTGTGGTGGCTGGAAGCCAGCTCTCGTCCCTGCTGGCTGCAGCTCAGCCCCTCTGCCAATGCTCTGCACTGACTTAATTGCAAGGACAGGGGACCCTGCCCCTTCTGGGCTGGTGGCCACAGCCACGCTCCAGCCCCACCGCGAGGTCTGCAATCATTTCCTGGCGTTTTTCTGACTGGGCAGAACCTGCCTCGTCCGCCTCTGCCTCGTCAGATCTGCTCAGGTGAGTGCAGAGCTCGAGGTGGTGCCTGTCACACTGGGGCTGGTCGCTGCACTGGCTGGTTGCGAGCTCAGGCGGCTTCTGCTGCTGTTGGCAGCTGGCCTGGAGCCACATCCATGGCTAAACCCAACGTTAACTCCACACGTGTCCTGGTGTCCCTTCAGCACGAGCTGGTTTTTGCCCAGGCTGAGAGAAGGGAGGGCCCGGAGCTCTGATACCAAACCCACGGCAGTCTCCACGCGTGGTCAGACTGCGACCCGCTGTCTCCTGGCAGTGCTTCCAGTGGAGCAGGCCAGCCCCGACGGCCGGTGCTTGGGGTGAGGATGGCCGATTGCCACCCGGTGCCGCTGCAAACCTTTTAGTCTTTCCCCTGCAAAAGGGCACCCTCGCGTGCCCGGCGTCTCTAAGCCACTGGAACGTTTCATGGTCCATTACAAACCCCCTTGGAAATGACTGGTTGTGTTGCGTCAAGTTTTTGTGTGTGGGAAGTGGTCCCATAAACGCTGCAGGCTCCAAAAGTTTCTTATTTATAGTATTTCTACTTCAGTCCCGCATTCAGGGAATGTTTAAATCATTTGTTTCTGGAACCTTGCTGTTTCCCGGGTCTCGCTGTTCCACCCGTATATTCTTATTGTGCAGTAGCCTTCCTAGTTGTGTTAACTTCAGTGTAACAACAGTGACAAATGGAATGAACTTTCTCCCCTTCTTTTTTTTTTCTTTTTTTTTTTTTTAAAACTTGTTTTTGTTTCCTCTGCTTCCACCTCTAAGAGCCATGTTGTCTCTTGCTGGTTTCCCAGGGATTTGCCCAGAGTGTGGGGGGCCGCGGGCCCTTTCTATAGACTCTTCTGTTGTTGTTTGTAGTAAGTCAACTCTTAGTCTTCCCACTAATAAATATTCAGTAACAAACCAACTGCGTTCTCGCTGCTGTCTGGGAGCAGCACTTCCCCTTGTGTTTCTTTGTATCGATTCCTTTTAATTTGTCGGGCTCTCTTTGCCAGATGAAAGTATGTAAACTTTTACCATGTCAAGAAATTAAAATAAGGTACTTTGAATTCTTTTAAGCTAGCCCCTTGTCTGTGATACCGAGCTCCTCCCCACGCTGTGCCATGTCAGTGTCTGTCCTCAGTCCTGCCTTTCTCCCATCCAATCGCTCCTTCCCTGCCTTCTCATTCCTCATTTTGACTGTCGTATGCCGCCGTGTGTTGCTCTGTAAGTCCTTCCTCTCCCTTCAGCGTGCCTTACGTTAGGCCCAGGGACCTGGAATTGATGTGTTTGGTCCCGTTCTTGCCCTGCGTGTCGCACTCAGGCCGTGTCGGGTCACACAGACACAAGGGATTTGCATGATTTGCTCAGAGAGCTGCAGCGGGGCTGCTCCCACATCCCTGCTGCGTGGGGCAGGCACCCGAATGCCTCCCCCAGTAAATGTCACACTCACCTACAGCCAAAGGAATCTCCTCTCCCTAATCTCCATGGGCCAAAGCATCCCCTGCCCTGCTCAGAGGGACAGCCTTGCTCTCGCTGCCCCATCCCCAGGCACGTTGCAGCGCAGCCGGTGCTGCAGGGCTGCTCTGCGCTGTTCGGCTTCGTGTCAGTCGTGTTCCCCTGGTGCCCTTCTGCCAGCTGCCGGTGTCCAGCCCGTGCTGTGACCCCGAGGCTCCGTCCCTGCCCGGTTTGGGTGCCGCTAGGTGGGGCCCACGATCAGCCCGAGGAGCTGCGGGTGGCCCGGTGAGCCCTGGCCTGGTGGAAATCCTTCTTGGAGCAGCAGCAGCAGCTTGTGGATGGCCCCTTCCTGCCTCGCGGTGCTGGGCAAATCCCTGCTGCTCGGGAAAAAGGGGAACGGAGCTGGAAACACCAATCCCTGGGGCTGGAGGGGCTGCTGTGGACAGGACTCAATGCGGTGCAGCAGCAGGGGGACCTCGCCGTGGCCAGAGGGAATGAAGGGGACACGCAGGAGCCCCGTGAGGGATGGAGCACCCAGGGGTGCTGTGCTGGGTGCTGGCAGGGAGCGTGGGCCACCCGCAGGAGCAGGGGAGGGTTTCTGTGGGATTTTCACCCCTCGCTGCGGAGGTCTCCGCTCTGCCCTCCAGGACGCCGTCAGGGCTCTCGTTCAGCTTCTGGAGACGTCGCAGCCCCTGCGTGCACTGCAGGTGAAAGCTGTGGAAGGAGAATAAAAGCACAGCGGTGGCGTTCAGGCACAAACAGCGCAGCCAGCCTGAGTAAGGGTCACACAATTTCCACCAGAAAGCTTTACACGAGCGGACCAAACGAGGTGAGGGTGGGAGCGCGCCAGGGGACGAGGTCTGGCTTGGCGTCAGCTTCACATTCACATCAGGGGGAACTGGCAAAGGTTTTTCTCTACTGTACTCCTTCCCCAGCTGCATGGCAGCCGCTGACTCAGAGTTTCCTTGAGCCAGAGGCCGCCTGTCTCTGCTTTTGGTTCCTATAAATTTCGGGGGCTGTTTTTTCGCCACCTCCACCTTTCCGCGTGAGCGAAGCGCAGCGAGCTCGGCGCTGCCGTGTTTTGTTTTGGGAGGCGCGGGCAGCTCACCGCGTGGAAGCCCCTAAATAAACAGCCAAATAAACAGCCAAAATAAACAGCAGGAGGGAAAGGCTCCGTGTTGGGTACGGGGCAGCCAGCCTGGCGAGCTGAGTGGAGGTGTGTGTGCACCAAACAGGTCGTAAACAAGTTGCGCTGCTGGTGGTGAGACGTGTCATTTATAAAATTCTAGGTTTGCTTTCAGCTGCCTCGGGTTTCTCACTGGAGGAAGGTGCACCAGCAGCTCCTGCGTGGCCATAAAGATCCCCGATGGATTTTTCGTCGCGGGTTTCGTGGCTCTGCAGGCTCAGGGAACTGCTCGGCTCCCTGAGCTGGCTGCTGCGAGGTGGGGATGGGTTCAGGGCTCCTGTGTTTGTTCTGGAACAGAGCTTCCAGAAAGCGCAGGCTGATTCTTGTCACAGATTTAAAAAACCCTTCAGCTTGAAAAATGCAGCAGAAACAGTGTTAAATAACCTGCTGTCAGATGTGAGCCCCGTGGCAGAGGCGGCACGGGGAGCTTCGGTCGTGCCAGCTGTACCCTGCGGCCCTGCGCTGCGGGCTCGTTCGTCACGGGGACGTCAGCGCAGGTTGGGGCTTCTGTGCTTTTGTTGCCTTCCAAAAACCCGGCGTGCACAGCAAGGAGCGTTCCCACACTTTATTTTCAGCCTCCTGACAGGCGGGCTGCAGGGCTGAGTTGTGATTTGCGGGGCAGCGCAGGGCCTGTGGAGCTTCTCCAGTTCTCCTAAACTGCCCGGAAAATGACAGGCTGTAATTGCAGCGTGTGGCTCGGCTTTTTGGGGCCTTGGGATGCAAACCCAAGAGGCGAAGTCAGGAGTAAATTAGCTGTTCTTTTGAACTTCAAGGAAATGTGGCCGTGGTGCGTGCAGCCTCCGGGGTTTGTGCAGTACTCCCAGCTCGGTGGGACCCCTGAAATGGGGTTCCGTGCTCTAGGCTTGCACCAGAAGGGAATTCTTCTTTCAACCCTAACCCCAAGGAACCCTCGAAACCTTGTTGACCTCACAGATTGGAAGACTGACGTGGAAATCAACGCTCGGGTGCTCAGATGGGGGCTGCTCAGGCTCCTCCTGCCATCAGAGGCCGGTGGGAAGTCGGTGGGAGCAGAGCAAAGCTGAAACCTGTTGCGTTCTGCGTAGCGGGGGCTCTTTTATCACCTCTCCTCTCTTCCCATTCCTGTGTCCATGTTTCAGAGCGATCCCTTCTCCAGCCCCATGAAGGCACCGCCGTGGCTCCGGGGGCTCTGCTGGCGCACCAGAGGCGAGTGGTGCTGAGCAGCTGCACTTCTCCCCTGCCTGCCCAGCTGCAGCTGAGGCTAAAGAAGGCTGCGAGCTGCCCAGGGTGGTGAGGATAATGGAGCGTGTCCTAAAGCCACGGGGCTCTCTGCCTGCCAGCGTGGGATCTGGTGTAAGCGAGGCCGAGCTGCGGGCTGGAGGACGGCCCCGTCTCCCACCAGGAAACTCTGACAGAGGAGGAGGAGGAGGAGGAGGACGGGAAGGCTCGGGTGAGGCGAGGTGAGGCTGGCAGCTGGAGTGGAAACGTTGGGTCGAATCTCTCCGGCTTTGGTGCTCTTGGATTCCTCGTGCTTCTCGGCACCAGCTCGGGGGCAGGCAGGGATTGCAGCGCGTCTCGTCTGCCCCCGGTGCTGCTCGGCCGAGGGTTTTCGGCGATGCTCCGAGAGCACCAACGGCTGAGGGCGGCTCTCACGAAATTCGGGAGGCTCTCCTGGAGGAACAAGGTCGGCCTTGTCCTCGGGGGAGCTCCTCCGAAGCTGCGCCTTGGTTTGTGTTTGAATCCGAGGCAGAGGCAAAGCTGCTTGATGTCGTTTCAGTGGAATTCGGGGGGATTCGTTAGTTCAGGGCTGCTCGGAGGTGCAAACTAAGGGCTGGTTGTTCGCAGCGCCTTGGGACCTGAATCTCGTCCTGAACTCCATCTCTCCGTGCCTGCCAAAGTTTTGCTGCTACTACACAGATGGATGTGTTCTCAGCAGAGGCTTCCACGTGGAAGATTTTTAAAAAGTAAAACAAAAAGCACCTCCAAGCTCGAAATGGCGCTGCCAGGGGGAACGTTTACAAGGAAGCAGCCTGGTAAACATGGAAATTCGGTGAGCTGCAAAGGGAAATTTGCAGGGTGGCAACAATTCGCAGCCTGTGAGAGGCTCGAAGTGGTCCCAGCCACCTCGGGCTGCCTGCAGGATCCTCGCTTTTCCAAGCAGCCTCAGGAAGCTGGGCTGGACCGAAAAAGTAACGGAACTGATGTGAAGCTGAGGTCTGAGTCACTGACCCCGCATCTCCGCTGGTTCTTTCAGGGCACTCAGAGCAGGCTGCAGCTGAGTGAGGTCTGCCCTTTCTGGTCACAACGAATTTCAGATCTCCTCCCCTCGCCTCTCCCAGCCTTTTGTGCTCTCCGTGCTAATCCATCCAGTGCAGCGTCAAACTGACGGAGGCAGCAGTCAGAAACCCTGCTCGGGAAGAGCCTGAGGACCAGCAGCAGGCATGCACCTGAAAACCGCGCTCATCCTCCTCGTCCTGGCTTTTGCCACCATCTTCGCCCTGGTCTGCGTGCTGCTGACCAGGGGACGGGGTCCCGGCACCTGCCAGCACCAGCCCCCGGAGCCCGAGGTCCCGGAGGACGGCCGCAGCCTGGTGTTTGCGGATCTGACGCCCGAGGAGCTGGCGCAGGTGGTGCGGTACCTGCGGGGCAGCCTCGGGGTGCCGCTGGTGGACGCCTCGCGTGCCAAACCCTCCGACAACTGCATCGCCTCCGTGGACGTGCAGCTCCCTGCCAAGGCGGAGGTGCTGCAGTTCCTGGATGCAGGGGGGGCTCGCCCACCCCGGGAGGCGCTGGCCGTGCTCTATTTTGGCAACCAGGAGGACCCCAACGTCACCGAGTACGTGGTGGGGCCTCTGCCGGTGCCGACGTATCACCGGGACGTCACGGTGCAGAAGTACGGGGGGAAGGTGCCGTACCACCGCCGACCCACGCTGGCTGTCGAGTACGAGCAGATTGCAGGATTTTTTAAGAGCCGGGTGTTCCCCGCGGCTCCGTCCTTCATGCGTCAGGTGATGGAGTACGACGGCACCAGCCTGGCAGCGGTGACTGCTGCTCCCCGGGGCTTCCAGTCCGGAGATCGGGCCACCTGGTACGTCCTGTTCCAGAATGTGAGCGGCTTCTTCCTGCACCCCGTGGGGCTGGAGGTGCTGGTGGACCACGGCAGCCTGGACATGGGCCAGTGGGCAGTCAGCAGGGTCTTCTACAACGGGCAGTACTACAGGGACATGGCTCAGCTGGAGAGCGCCTACGTGCAGGGCCGCATCAGCGTGGAGAAGGTGAGGAAAGTGCCCCCGGACGGGGACTTCTCGTCCATGAGACCCCGAGCGCCCTGGGCTACGGCGTTCCCCTTGCAGTACGAGCCCCAGGGTCCCCGCTACAGCCTGAGGAAGAACCACGTGGCCTTCCAGGCGTGGAGCTTCGCCTTCGGCATGAGCGTGCAGACGGGCCTGCGGCTGCTGGACGTCCGCTACAAGGGGGAGAGGGTCGTGTACGAGCTGAGCGTGCAGGAGGCGCTGTCGGTGTACGGCTCCAACTGCCCCGGGGGGATGTCGACGCGCTACATGGACGGGAGCTTCGGCATCGGGCGCTACAGCTCCCCGCTGCTGCGCGGGGTGGACTGCCCCTACCTGGCGAGCTACGTGGACGTGCACTACCTGGCTCATTCCCAGGAGGTCAGGACCATCAAGAACGCCCTCTGCGTCTTCGAGCAGAACCTGGGCTCCCCGCTGCGGCGCCACTTCTCCAACCTGCAGGCGCTCTACTACGGCGGGCTGGTCAACTCCGCGCTGGTCCTGCGGTCCGTCACGACCGTGGGCAACTACGATTACATTTGGGACTTCATCTTCTACCAGAACGGGGCCATCGAGGCCAAGGTCCAGGCCACGGGGTACACGAGCTCGTCGTTTTTCCACGGGGATGGTCTGCGGTACGGCAATAGGGTCGGGGAGCACACGCTGGGGACGATTCACACCCATTCGGTCAACTACAAGGTGGATTTGGATGTGGGAGGTAGGTCCGGGTCTTCCTCGAGCTCCTGCTGTTAATGTGGTAAGCCCCAGAGTTTTTTGGGGATTGCCTCCTGGTGCGCGGAGTCCCTCCTCACTGACATCTGATCTCTGCTTTTTCGCTCTCTTACTTCATCCCCAAATTATTTTTCTATGTGTTCAACAGCCTGTCCAGGTCATGGAGCTGGAGGCAGAGCGAGTTGTCTGGGAGCTCTGTGTTCAGCCCCGGGGAAAGGCACGGAAAGGCAGCGGCTGCCAAACGTTTGAGTTTCCTTGAGGCCTCACGTCTGGCACGGGCTGTGTTGCCATAAGCGTGGCCAGACAGACGGGGCAGACGCGGCGCTGTCTGCAGGAGGGGAGGTGTGAGCCGCTCCTGCGACGCCTGGCGCTGCTTTGGGACTTCGCTTACAGCTCGGAAAAGTCCCGTCCGTGCCTCCTCTTCCCGGCATGCGGCTGGGTGGCAGCACCGCGGGGCTGACCTCTGGCAGCTCGGTCCCTGCCTCTCCCTTTTGAGGAAACCCTCGGCTGGATCCTGAGCCTCGAGCTGCGGAGCTGCTGCAGGGAGAGGGAGAAATCCCCGCTCCTCCGTGCGGGCAGGGCTTTTTGGCACCAGGTCCCTGCAGGAGCTGCTCTCTGCTGCAGCCCAGGGCGAAACGGCCACGCTGGGATGCACGGGTCGGATGCACGGGGTTTATTTCTCCTCCGGGACTGATCCAGAACCAGGACGGTGCAGGGGCAGCCCCGGGTGCAGCAGGCACCGACTGGCACCGTTGGGTGTCTGTGGCCGAAATCTGCTGCTGTGAAAGGTGGGGGAGAAAATCTGCAAGACCACCGGTGGGTTGGGGGCTCCGTCTGTGCCCGCTGGAGGAGAAATTTGGCTGCTCTCAGCCCCGCTGGGGCTGGAGCTGCGGGTGACACCGGGTCAGGAGTGGCACGCGTCCTGTGCGTGGAGCGGGGTTGTGCCCTCCTGTCCCCGGGATTTGTGTGGCCTTGAGAAATGCTGTGGCTGTCACCCGTGGCCGAAAGCAGGGCTGACAGCGGTGCCCTTCCTGTAAACAAGGCTGGCAAACGTGCTAAAAGAGAGCTCCTGTGCGGTGGCAAGGTCCAAAACTGTGTCCCTGCTGTGTCCCTGCTTTTCCCTGCACTTTGTTTACAGACCCAGAGCCCTGGCTGGAAAGCTCTGGAGAATTGTGTCAGCCCCAGCCTTGGTCCACTTGGCGAGGGAAAGGGAGAGCTTGTCCCGAGCAGCGGGGTTAGAAGCAGCGTGTGGTGCTCGAGAGGAGCCCTCGCAACCTCAAACCCTGTAAAGGGAAACCAGAGCAGGGCACAGCACAGCAGAGCCTCTCCAGCACAGGTTCCTCGCATCCAAACCTGCGGCTGGCGTGGGACCTGCAGGGGAAACGGGCGAGTGCTCCCTGGCTGGCACTGAGACAAACCAGAAGCTCCTAAATTAACGCTGTGATGGAAAAATTGGTGCCGAGCTGTCGTGGTTTCAGCCCCTGCCCTGTGCCTACCAGCTGGCCGTGACGAGGGCTGTGGTGGCCGGGTGAGCTGTCCTCGGCTGTCCCTAATGTGGGGCTGCCCTCGTAGGAGCTGTCGGCCCCCCCTTGGCTGCAGGGGGTCTGGCAAAAGAGGGGCTGCGCCCCCCGGGTGTGCGCACAGAGGGGCACAGCCTTCCCCTTCAGGCCCCTTTGTGTCCCTGCTGGCTCCTGCCCGAGGGTCCTGGTGGGGGGAGAGGGTTTGGGGGGGCTGGATCAGTGCCGTGAGCTGCCCGTCCTCATGAGCCCCTCTGCCTGCAGCTGGCACTGCTCGTAGTTACTGCTGGGGTTTGGTAAATGCTGCCTGATCTCAGCAGGGAGCTTCCTCCCATCTCAGCCCTTCTGGAGCACCAGCGCCAGAACTGGAGCAGCCGGGTCCCTTCCCTTAGGGCTGGGAAGGACTCGGAGGTGACGGGGAGAGGAGCTGTGGTGGTGTTGGGGAGCCGGGGGCTCTCCGGGAGCACCAGGCAGGACCAGCTCCCGGGGTGCCCGTGTTGCAGAAGGAGCCAACCCGGCCGAGCCAGCCCCGTGGCATCGCCGTGCTCCCCATCCCGCACCCACAGCCCTCACAGCCCACCGAGCTCCTTGGTCCAGCACGGGACGAGGCAGCAGGAGGAGTGCTGGATCTGGGCACCTTGTGCTTCCAGCAGGGTGCTGGCCCCGTGGGGTGCGTGCCGGATCCACGGAGCATCCGTGCGATGGGCCAGGGCGTCCCGGGAGGTGCACTGGGCTGAGCAAACGCCCTGTAGCAGGGAAACCGCTGGGTAACCCGGGGCAGGAGTCGGGCGCCAGCTGCCCAGCTCGGTGCGCCCGGGGTGGGGAGGGAACAGGCAGAACTGGCTGGGAGCTGGGAGCTGCGCGCGGAGTGGCCGGGGAGCTCCAGGTTTCCTCCCCACATCGGAAGCGACGCCTGCACGCCCACACCACGACTGAGTTAAGAGCTTGGGCTGCAGGTGAGGGACGCAGTCCGGACGCCGCAGCCGAGCCCCGCGCGCTGTCTCGACGCTCGGAGAGATGAACCCCAGGCTCCCCTACGTCCTCCTGTTCGGGGCTGCGGTGGTCATCTTCATTCTCTCCTGCATGCTGCTGAGCAGAGGGAGGCGATCGCCCGGCTGCGAATCCCAGCCCCGCAGCGCGGAGAAGACGGGGTCCCGGAGCCAGAGCCTGGTGTTTGCGGATCTGACGCCCGAGGAGCTGGCGCAGGTGGTGCGGTACCTGCGGGGCAGCCTCGGGGTGCCGCTGGTGGACGCCTCGCGTGCCAAACCCTCCGACAACTGCATCGCCTCCGTGGACGTGCAGCTCCCTGCCAAGGCGGAGGTGCTGCAGTTCCTGGATGCAGGAGGGGCTCGCCCACCCCGGGAGGCGCTGGCCGTGCTCTATTTTGGCAACCAGGCAAACCCCAACGTCACCGAGTACGTGGTGGGGCCTCTGCCACAGCCGACATATCACCGAGATGTCACGGTGCAGAAGTACCGGAGGAAGGTGCCGTACCACCGCAGACCGATGCTGGGCAGCGAGTACGAGCAGGTGGGAGCCTTCCTGAAGGCGGTGGCGTTCGCTGCAGCCCCCACCTTCCTGCAAGAAGTGTTTGACTACGACGGCACCAACGTGGCGTTTCGGAGCACGGCTCCTCACGGGTTCAGGTCCGGGGACCGCAAGTCGTGGTTCGTCGTGTTCCAGAACGTGAGCGGCTTCTTCCTGCACCCCGTGGGGCTGGAGGTGCTGGTGGACCACGGCAGCCTGGACATGGGCCAGTGGGCGGTCAGCAGGGTCTTCTACAACGGGCAGTACTACAGGGACATGGCTCAGCTGGAGAGCGCCTACGTGCAGGGCCGCATCAGCGTGGAGAAGGTGAGGAAAGTGCCCCCGGACGGGGACTTCTCGTCCATGAGACCCCGAGCGCCCTGGGCTACGGCGTTCCCCTTGCAGTACGAGCCCCAGGGTCCCCGCTACAGCCTGAGGAAGAACCACGTGGCCTTCCAGGCGTGGAGCTTCGCCTTCGGCATGAGCGTGCAGAGGGGCCTGCGGCTGCTGGACGTCCGCTACAAGGGGGAGAGGGTCGTGTACGAGCTGAGCGTGCAGGAGGCGCTGTCGGTGTACGGCTCCAACTGCCCCGGGGGGATGTCGACGCGCTACATGGACGGGAGCTTCGGCATCGGGCGCTACAGCTCCCCGCTGCTGCGCGGGGTGGACTGCCCCTACCTGGCGAGCTACGTGGACGTGCACTACCTGGCTCATTCCCAGGAGGTCAGGACCATCAAGAACGCCCTCTGCGTCTTCGAGCAGAACCTGGGCTCCCCGCTGCGGCGCCACTTCTCCAACCTGCAGGCGCTCTACTACGGCGGGCTGGTCAACTCCGCGCTGGTCCTGCGGTCTATCACATCTCTGGGCAACCACGACTACGTGTGGGACTTCATCTTCTACCAGAACTGGGGCCATCGAGGCCAAAGTCCATGCTACGGGGTACCCAAGTTCTTCCTTTCTCCATGGGGATGGTCTGCGGTACGGCAATAGGGTCTGGGAGCACACGCTGGGGACAATACAAACCCATTCCATCAACTACAAGGTGGACTTGGATGTTGGAGGTAGGTCCGGATCTTGTCTCCGTTTTGTGCCCTCCATGAGTGCTTACAGGCTCCTCAAACTCTGTGTTTCATGGTCTTTACATGGGTTTTTCTTTCCACGCATGGGGTAGGGCGATGTGCTCCCATAGAGCTACAGGGGGTCGGGGTCTTCCCCCTTCAGGATGAGTTTTGAGCATTTCTGTTTAAAAAGAAGAAAAGTGGGGTGTGGATTGCGAAACCCTAAACATAGGAAAAGGGCATGTGAAATGCCAGACTGTGTCTGCTTGATGCTGCCACACCAGGCGTGGGGTTCAAAGTCTTGTTCACATCAGAAGGAGGATGAAAACGAGCTCTGCAGTAGCTGTGGGTGGGTCCTCTTCGGCAGCTCCTGGCACTGTCCTTGACTGCAGGTCCCAAGGCTCTGGTCCAAGTTTTTTTTGGGGTGGAGGCTTGTCTGGAGAGGTTTGCTGCTGTGGTCCGTGCACGGGGCCCCTCTGCCAGCACCCTGCTGGCCCTCGAGCTCTCTCAGCCAGCTCTCTGCCATCCCGTCCCCATTTATCTGCCTCTCCCATTGCTCCGAGCCCCTGGCTGACGCAAACTCTTTGTGGACAGACCGGAGCTGCTCCACTTCTGTGATGTGCAAATGCGCTCGGAGCCTGAGCTCCTCCTGGCGCGTCCTCGCAGGATGGGTGCTGATGAGCAGAAACAGCACCCGGGCCATCAGGCGCTTGGGCTAATTAGGCTGGGCTCTCACTGGGAAGCAAACTGGTTCTTCTGCCCATGGAGGTTTCCTTCTTCTGGTCCCCAGGGACCACACTGCGTGCCACGGGGTGGTGTTGCCTGGGTTAGGCAGACGTAGACGATGGGTAAAGGCACGCAGCGCTGGGGAGCGGTGCTTGGAGCCCGGGGCGCAGGAGGGGAGGATGTGGGGAGCAGGCTCTGGCTGCAGGGAAGCTCCTCACCCACTTCTTGTCCTCGTAGGGGTGAAGAACTCCCTGGTGGCTCATGACATGGCGTTCGAGATGGCGCGGGCTCCCTGGAACCCCGAGCAGCAGATCGAGCGGCCGCGGCTCACCAAGAGGGTCCTGGACACGGAGGACCAGGCGGCTTTCCGGCTGCAGTCCAAGATCCCCAGATACATCTACTTCGCGGCCAACAGCAAAAACAAGTGGGGCCACCAGCGGGGTTACAGGATCCAGATCGTCAGCTTCGCAGGGGACCACGTCCCCGAAGCCAGCTCCATGGAGAGGGCCATCAGCTGGGCAAGGTCAGGCTGCTGTGGTGGTGGCACCGGGTTCTCCAAGACGCCTCCAGCATCTGGCTGGGGGAGGCATCACGGGGATGTTCCCCATGGAGAGGGATGGGGCAGGGGCTCCCCAGGGCTGGGGTTGCTGCAGGGGACCAGCCCTGGTGCTCTGCAGGCTCTGGGGAGCCGGTCTCATCCAGCGTCCTTGTCCTCAGGTACAAGCTGGCCGTCACCAGGAGGAAGGAGGAGGAGCCCACCAGCACCAGCATCTACAACCAGAACGACCCCTGGACGCCCACCGTCGCCTTCGCTGACTTCATCGACAACGAAACCATCACCAACGAGGTGAGCAGGCTCTCGGGCTGTGGTGCCCACCGTGGGGCTGAGCAGGAGCTGGAGCTGCTGGTGCTGGCCGTGCGTTCTCCGTGCATTGCCCATGGGCTCAGCCGGGACAGCAGCAGCTCCGGGAAGGGGGTCTGAGCGCTCGTGGGCTGTGGGTGCCCACCAAGGCTCCCTCGGTGGTCCAGGCACAGATTTTAGTCTGAAATAACCTGGGTTGTGTAATTCCTCCTGCCTAGGACCTGGTGGCCTGGATAACTGCTGGCTTCCTCCACATCCCGCACTCGGAGGACATTCCCAACACCGCCACGGTGGGGAACTCAGGTCGGCTTTCTCCTGCGCCCCTACAACTACTACGACCTGGACCCCTCCATCTACTCGCACGACGGCGTCTTCTTCACTAGTGAGCAGGACTTCACGGCGTGCGAGGTCAACCCCATCGCCTGCCTGCCCAAAACAGCCTCCTGCTCGCCCAACTTCCCCCCGTTCACCTACGACGGATTCAAAAACATGAGCAGGCTTTAATGTTCCAGGAGCCGCGAGGCTGACCAACCTGTTAGGATTTATTTTTTTTAAGTGAAGTTTTTATTATTATTTTTTTTCATTTTCCAGTTGTAACTTCACTTTTTGTGTTGCTTTTAATTTAGTGCTCGGCGCGAGGGGAGCGTAATTGTCCTGGCGCGCTGCCAGGCGGCAGCCTGACTTTATCTCCATTAATTGCTGAATCCGGGTCTGTTTTGGGGAGGGTGGGAGGTAGGGGGAAGGAAGGAAGAAATCCTGTTCCTCTGCTGTAGCAGCGAACGCCATGTAGTGCCTATCTCAGGTTTTAAAAACAAAAAGATGTGGTGCTATCCATCCCGCCTGTCTCGTTCTTGCGGCTTCCAGCGCCGGCTGCTGGGGGATGCTGGGGCTCTGTGGGGCTGGATGGGGTGGTCCGGAGCTGGGCTCTGCAGCGTGGGGGCACCGGGCTCGGTGCAGGGCATCGGTGGCCCCGTGGGCTCTGCTGGGGTGTGGAGGGAAGGAAGTGCTGGGAGGAGCGCTGGTTTTTCTCCCTGCTGTCTGGATCTGTCCTCCCCGAGGGCTGCAGCGTAGCCTGCGGGACGGGACGGGAAGGACGGGTGCAGAAGAATGAGGTTTATTTAAATTTGTGACCCGCCGGGGGGAAGCAGAGCCAAGTTGCCTTTTATGGTTCCCAGCAAATCCCAGGCACGTCCAAGAACATCACCCTACGCCCTCCTTGCGAGCTTGTCTGGGCTGTTCCCGGAGCGGAAAAACGGGGGGAAAAAAACAAAAACAAACAGCCAACCCCACAACCCCTCCAGCCCCTGCTGCTGCAGGTCCCGGAGAGTTTCACGGCTGGGAAGCCCGTCCTGCCCCACTGCAGCAGCCATGAACGTGAAAACGGCGCTCATCCTGCTCCTCCTGGCTCTGGCCACGATCTTCGCCCTGGTCTGCGTGCTGCTGACCAGGGGACGGGGTCCCGGCACCTGCCAGCACCAGCCCCCGGAGCCCGAGGTCCCGGAGGACGGCCGCAGCCTGGTGTTTGCGGATCTGACGCCCGAGGAGCTGGCGCAGGTGGTGCGGTACCTGCGGGGCAGCCTCGGGGTGCCGCTGGTGGACGCCTCGCGTGCCAAACCCTCCGACAACTGCATCGCCTCCGTGGACGTGCAGCTCCCTGCCAAGGCGGAGGTGCTGCAGTTCCTGGATGCAGGAGGGGCTCGCCCGCCCCGGGAGGCGCTGGCCGTGCTCTATTTTGGCAACCAGGAGGACCCCAATGTCACCGAGTACGTGGTGGGGCCTCTGCCGGTGCCGACGTATCACCGGGACGTCACGGTGCAGAAGTACGGGGGGAAGGTGCCGTACCACCGCAGACCTGTTACCGGCGTGGAGTACGTGGCCATCAGCGCCCTCATCCAGGACGAGCTGAGGAAGGCGCCGCGTTTCCTTGCCGCCTGCTGCGCCTCCGATGGCACCGACCTGGCCGTGCTCACCACAGCCCCCCGGGGCTTTAAATCCGGGGACCGCTCCTCCTGGTTCGTCATCTTCCACGCCGTGGAAGGCACCGGTTACTTCGTGCTGCCGGTGGGGCTGGAGGTGCTGGTGGAGCACGGGGAGCTCGACATCTCCCTCTGGTACCTGAGCCAGGTCTTCTATAACGGGCGCTACTTCTCCAGCACGACGAAGCTGGAGGCCGACTTCGTGGCTGGCTTGCTGGAGGTGATCCGGGTGGAGAAGCCGCAGGATGCCACGGTGATGGGCTCCATGAGACCCCGGCGCCCTCCTGGCGCTCCGGGGCCGCTGCAGTTTGAGCCCCAGGGTCCCCGTTACAGCATCAGGGACAACCGCGTCACCTTCCAGGGCTGGAGCATCGCCTTCGGCATGAACCCCAACACCGGCCCGCGCCTCTTCGACATCCGTTACCGCAGGGAGAGGATTATCTACGAGCTCAGCCTGCAGGAAGCCCTGGCTCTATACGGCTCCAACTGCCCCGGAGGCATGTCCACCCGCTACCTCGACGGCAGCTTCGGCATCGGCAGGTTTGCCTACGAGCTGGTCCGGGGCGTCGACTGCCCCTACACGGCCACCTACGTGGACCGGCACTACCTGGCCGAGTCGGACGTGCCCAGGACGAACCAGAACTCGCTGTGTGTCTTCGAGCACGACGCCGCCCTCCCCCTGCGGCGCCACTTCTCCGACACGCAGTCCTTGTACTACTGGTGGGCTGCGCAAAAAGCGTCCTGGTCATCCGCGCCGTCTCCACCCTGATCAACTACGACTACGTCTGGGACTTCATGTTCCACAGCAACGGGGCCGTGGAGGTCCGGGTCCACGCCACCGGCTACATCAGCTCCTCCTTCTTCCACGGCCGAGGCATCGACTACGGCAACAAGGTTGGGCCCCACACGCTGGGGACGATGCACCTCCACCACATCCACTACAAGGTGGACCTGGACATCGATGGTAGGGCTCGACTCGCATGGTCACGAGGGTTTTTCCTGTCCTTGGTGTGTCTGGGGGCTCCAAAGGTTGGGTTATGGGGCATGAAGTGTGTCTTTGGGGGGAAAAACTACTGCCTGTATTCCTGGGATGCAGAGCAGGGCAGCTCCGCGGCTGCATTTCCTGGTGGGGACGGAGCTCGAAGGGATTTTTTCCTTTTGCTTCGCAGGCCAGCTGAACTCGCTGGAGACCCAGGACATGGGCTACGAGCAGCTGAGGGCCCCCTGGAGCGAGCAGAACACCATTGTGCGGCCGTTTCTCCACCGGGACAGGCTGGAGAGGGAGAACGAGGCGGCGTTCCCCCTCGAAGCCCCCCTGCCCCGTTACCTCTCCTTCACCGGCCCCAAGCTCAACCAGTGGGGACACGCGCGCAGCTACCGGCTGCAGGTGGTCAGCTTCCCCGGGAAGCATCTGCCCGACAGCAGCCCCATGGAGAGGGCCGTCAGCTGGGGCAGGTAGGTGTGGGGCTGGGGCAGCAAACGGGGGCACCCATGCTGCAAACGGCCAGGGAAGGAGGGTGGTGCACGGGCAGCCCTGTGCCAAGGGACCCCTCTGGTGCCAGCCCCTGCGGGTGCTGAGCCTCTTCTCGGTCACCGCGTCCCCGTCTTAGTCCTTTTCTCCCTGTGGGGAGGAAGGGTTAAACAGCAAACTCTCCTGTTTCTTGGCTCTGAAAAATCCCTAGAAAAGTTGCTCAACGGTATCCATTCATAGCAGTTCCCATGCAGGAATCTGACCCCAGATGAGTTCAGTTTCCAGCGATCGCACGTGTTTTCCCCTGCGGGGGCAGCGGGGCTCCTGGAGCAGTGCTGCTACCCCCAGGTCTTGACATCTCCACGTGAGGACAGGATGCTTTTTGGGAAAACGCTTCGTTTAACCGCAGCTTTGGCTCGCGACCAGGGTGAAATGGAAGGGGGAGGTTGTTTGAGTTAGACCTGGCACAGGCTGGAGGCGAAGCACCGAGCTGTGCCTCCCAGGGGCAGCAAAGCCCCCGAGGCACTGGGGCTGCAGCCAGCCCCTGGGTCCCATCCCTTTGGGGTCGCCCTGGGGACACGGACTGAGCCCCCCTTTCTCCCACAGGTACAAGCTGGCTGTCACCAAGAGGAAGGAAGAGGAGCCCACCAGCACCAGCGTCTACAACCAGAACGACCCCTGGACGCCCACCGTCGCCTTCGCCGACTTCATCGACAACGAAACCATCAGCAACGAGGTGAGGGGAGCCGGGCACCGGGGCTGCTGCTCCTGGCCAGGCTGAGACTTCGCCTGCCTGAGGCCAAACCGGGTGGGAATGGGGCTGGGGGCCGGGCTGGGAGGGTCCCGTGCAGCCTGACGGGGTAGCTCTGTGTGCCCAGGACCTGGTGGCCTGGATTTCCGTGGGGTTCCTGCACGTCCCCCACTGCCGAGGACATCCCCAACACGGTGACCGTGGGGAACGGTGTCGGCTTTTTCCTGAGGCCCTACAACTACTTTGACGAGGACCCCTCGGTGGATTCGCCCGACAGCATCTACTTCAGCAGCGAGCGGGAGGCGGAGGCGTGCGAGGCCAACCCCCTCGCCTGCCTGCCCGCGGCCGCCTGCGCCCCACAACTGCCCCCCTTCCGCTACGGGGGCTTCCTCAACATCAGCCTGCCCCCACCGCCCTGGCAGGCTCTGACGGGGACGGGGACACCCACGGACGCATGGATGGCCCCCGTCCGGCCATGGGGCTGCGTCCTCGGAGGGGTTTTGGTGATGGAGGGTGCGTGGCTGGCTCACCGGGACCTGCCCTGCTCTCCTCCTCCTCCTCCTCCTCCTCCTCCTCCTCTTCCTCAGGGATGTGGGTGCAGGGCTCCATCCCACCGAGGTAGGTGGGTGCCCCCTGGGTGATGGAGCCATTCGGGACCAGGCTGCAGCTGCCCTCTGGGTGCTGTGGTCCTCATTTGGGCACTGCCTTGGGACAGCAGCCCCCAGGGGATGCGTCCGCTGCAGCTCCAGGTGATGCTGGGGCCGGGAACTGGGGACGGGGGGGGTGGGAACTGGGGATGGGTACTGGGAACTGGGGATGGGGGACCAGGAACTGGGGATGGGGACCAGGAACTGGGGATGGGGGCCGGGAACTGGGGATGGGGACCAGGAACTGGGGATGGGGACCAGAAACTGGGGATGGGGGGCCGGGAACTGGGGATGGGGGCCGGGAACTGGGAATGGGGAGGTCAGGAACTGGGCATGGGGATGGTGCGCTGGGCTGCACTGGGTGCCGGCAGGGTGAGCGCGCTGCAGGAAGCGGAGACGGCTCCAATAAAGAGGCACGCGAGTGCTTTTCCTGACCCAACTCTTGCGTGGCTGCCTCAGTGCGGTGTTTGCTGCTCTGCCAGCACCCACCGGAGAGGGCGAAGGGCCGGGGTCAGGCACGGAGCCCAGCGCCGCCGTGTGAACGTGCACCGGCCGTGCTCTTGGACCCCAGTGCGCTGGCAGCAGCCTCCGCTGCAAAATATGGGACAAACAAGGGAGTTAATGTGTAACAGCTGTACCGAGGCTGATTAATCGGTCCTGGCCTTGGCTGCTGCCCCGCGCCGTGTGCTCACCCCCCCCGGCGTGGGGACCCTTGCTCCGGTGCCACCGGTGCGTGCACAGCCCCAGATGCAGGACCCAGGAGCCCGTCCCCGCTGCACCGGGATGGGTTTGGTGAGGACGGGTTGGCTCCGACCCCACTGCCCAGCCCCAGCATGAGGCTGCAGCTGCCAAATGCTGGCTTCTGCGTCCCCAGGGGGGGCTCCACGAGCACCTGCCCTCGCCGTGGGAGCTGCTCGAGGCTGTGTCACGATGGCCTCGAGGAGCCCTAATGGCAACGTGTGTCCAGCAGGGAGCTTGGATGGCACCGGGGCTGAGGAGCTGCGGCACGGGGAAAGGATTTGGGGTGGGAGGGGGTGGCTCTGCATGGCCAGGTGACGCTTGGGGACATCAGTCCCGGGGGTGCAGGTGCATTTACACTTGGGGACATCAGTCCTGGGGGTGCAGGGACAGGCTGTGGCCGTGCTCCCCTGTGTCTGCAGGCAGCTGCCTGGACTCTGCCCGCGTGCTGACGCAGGCGACGCCGGCCCCGCTGCCGGCACTGCGGCGGGCTGGGAAGCTTCTGGATGAAACCTTGGCACCGAGGGGCAGCCGGGTGTGATGGGGCGTGCGCTGCGCGTGCACTGCCCGTGTCCGGTGCCTTGGGAACCGCCGGGACACCGAGTCCTGCAGCCAGCCGCTGTCACCGCAGGGCACAAAGGTCCCGGGCTGCCAGCTCATCCCCGGCTTGTTGTGGCTGCAGGGGAGCCGCCGATCCCAGTTCCCATCCCAGCTCCCGGCCTCTCCCAGCTGCGATCCCGGTTTTGCTGTCGTGGCGCTTTCCAAGGGGGCTGGCGCATGCTTGTCCCCATCCCCCCCCCAGCACCTTTTGCCCTCGTTTTCTGCAGTGAAGCTTTTCAGGGAAAATTTATTACCAACGGTTTCAAAACACGTTGGACGCGGGAGCCAAGCCTGCTGAATTCCTTCGCGCTGGCCAAAAGCGGCTCTCGGCTGAGGACCCTGAAACGAGCTGCTGGGGAATTTGTTTTGCAAGAGTGATCCCATTTCCATGCAAACTTCTGCTCCATTTGGGCAGGGAAGCTTTGGTCTCCCCGAGGGTGCTGGGAGGATGGTGGCGAGCTGCTCCCCTCTGGTTTGGGGTTTCATCTTGGCTGGTTGTGGCTGGGAATCCCCCGCTCAGCAGGAGGGGGGGACCCCCTGAGCCCCCACGGAGCACGAGGAAAGCCCCAGCTCCTTGGAGCCGAGGCAAAGCTCCTCGCAGAGCACCCACGGTGCTCCCTCACGGCTGCAGCTCTGCCGTGGCATCAGCTCAGCATCAGTCACAGCTCAGCAGCTCACGGCACGGCTCCAAACCACGTCGCTGCCCTACGGGGACTGACGTTTGCCAGCGTTTTAACCTTCCTTGGCTTTAGCCAGCACTGTCCAGGCTGTGCTCCCGGGGAGGAGGATGTTGTGGTGGTCACCGTGGGGTAGGGCAGGGGGGAGGAAAAGGAGGGGAGGAGGAGGAGGAGGAGGAGGAGGAGGAGGAGGAGGAGGATGCCCCCCAGGTGCCACCGCTCGCTGCCTGGACGCGACCTCTGCCTGCTGGGGGCCGCAGCGGGGAGCGGTTCAAGGCTCCTGACCCGAACTTTCCCGAGGAGAGAGATAAGTGCAGCGTTTTCACTGGCTGCTAATCATTAACGCCCCGATGTCTGCTCCTGCCCCCCGTGGGGGGCACCACACCACTGGGCCGTGTTTTTCCGTGGCAGCGGCCGGGCAGACAGCACTGGGACGTGGGGTTTGCCCCCCTGGGACATGGGGTTTCTTTTGCCATGCTGACCCCATGTCCTGGACCCATGCAGCCAGCTCTGTGTTACTCTTTCATCACTGACTCCCAGGGGACACCAGGGAGATAAATCTGCCAGCACCGTCAGCCTGGGGTGGAGAGGCCACAGGCAGGGACCTGGCGTGACAAGTGACAAGTGACAAGTGATATCCTCGCCTCCATGACCATGGATGGGGTCTGGCAGGGCAGGAGGGGTTAACCCAGGGGTGTGCTGGGCAGATTTGCTCCCCGTACCTCACTTGCACAGGTCCTGAAACCCCACAGGGCTCAGGACAACATCGCCAGCAGCCAGGACCTCTCCAAGCTTTGCTCTCAGCCTCCAAGGAGCTCCCAAAACAGCTCGGAAAGGTTCCCAACGAGCAGAGACCTGGTGAAGTCAGCCTGGCAGATGCCGTGGCAGCAGGGTGCTTGTGCACCAGGCAGAGGTTTTGGCTCCGGGGATGGGAGCAGCATTTTTCCATCCCTCTGCAGGTGCTTGAGCCTCTGCCCTGCTAAAAAAAAAAAAGTAAACGCTGGGGTGCACGAGGAGCAGACTGAGTGATTTATTGGGAGCCAGGAGGAGTGGGGGGCTGCAGAACCCCACCCCGAGCAGCAGAGGCACCTGGCAGTGCAGAGGAAGGGTGGTGAAGGGTTAAGGCACCCGCCGGGCACGCTCCCCGCCGCCCCGCTGCCTGTTTTTACGTAAGTCCTTCCAAACATGTTTGTCACAACCCCCCGGTGATGCACCTTTGGCAAAAGTGGTTTTGGGTCCAAAGATCGGCGCTGGGACAAGCGACCTGCCGGCAGCAAACAAGAGCCCGCAGGGTATAAAACCGCGGTGCGAAGCGGGGCAGCCCGGACCCGCCGGGAGGCAGCTGAGGAGGAGGAGGAGGAGGAGGAAGAGGAGGAGGAGGATGGAGGCTGGCATGAACGTCCTGCACGACGCGGGCATCCAGGCCACGCGCTGGCTGCAGGAGCACTTCCAGGGCTCCCAGGACTGGTTCCTCTTCATCTCCTTCGCTGCCGACCTCAGGAACACTTTCTTCGTCCTTTTTCCTCTCTGGTTCCATTTCTGCGAGCCGGTGGGCATCCGGCTCATCTGGGTGGCCGTCATCGGGGACTGGCTCAACCTCGTCTTCAAGTGGTGAGTAGCCCCGGGGCGTGCTGGCACAGCTGGGTTCTCCTTAACCCGGGGCACCCAGCCCTGATGTGAGGTCCTGCGGCTCGGCTGAGAGCCTGGTGGTGATGGTTGGCGTTCTTCATCCCCGAGATTTTTAGAAAAGGCTCTTCCCCCTTCCCCAAAGGCAGGCAGGAATCAGCCACTGCAGGCAGACGCAGACACCCCCCTGCCATCAGCTCGAGCCCGGCACAGCTCGGTGTTAGCCACAGGACGTGGTGCCAGTGGCACAAGGGGACCAGTGCGGTGCCACCTCTGCTGTGCCACCCGGTGCCTGGCGTTGTGCCGGGGATTTGGGGCTGTTCTGTCCCACGGCTGGACCCTGTGGGGTGCTTGGGGAGCTGTGCTGGGTGCTCTGGTTCTGTGCCTGCCCCACAGCTGGGATGCCCACGCTGATGGGGACGGGTGTCCTCCCCCTCTGCTGGCACCATGGGGTGCTCTTTCTGGAACAGGCATGGGGGGAGCAGACGGCCTCTTCTCAGCACGTTTGCCTGCTCCTGGGAAGTTCTCACTCCAGGAATAACCACCCCAAACCCCATTCTCCTTTCTTTTCAGGATTCTATTTGGGGAGAGACCGTACTGGTGGGTGCACGAGACCAACTACTACAGCAACGCCTCCGCCCCAGCCATCCAGCAGTTCCCACTCACCTGCGAGACCGGCCCCGGTAGGGTCCCGCACCCAAGGGGGGGAGCACGGGGACGCTCTGTCCATGGGACCCCGGGGATCCTGGTCCCAAAGTGGGGGTGCTGGCATGGCCGGGACCGTTATCTCCGCTATTATCACTGAGCTGCAGGGCCACTGCCGTGCCCTGGTGGGGTGGAGGCAGGGCAGCCCCTGCGCGGAGCGGACTTTTACCCTTGGTGTGCGCAGACGTGGCGGCTCAGCACAAATCCTGCTGGGGCCATGCTCGGCCACGTGCCGGCAGCAGCAACCCTGTGGGTATTTTTTGTCTGTGGTTGCAGCCAGCCTGGGGCTGTGAGTGGCCTCAGCACGAGCCATCGAGGGTGGTCGGTGCCTTCTGCCCTGTCCTGATCGTACGACAGGCCTCGGAGCTTGAGCTGTGCTCCTCGTGCATGCTGGCACCCGCCTGTGGATGGGTGCTCGGTGCCATGAACCCGCTGCGTGGGAGCCCCAGGGGACAGCCTGATCCCACGGGGGTCTGACCGGGGGCTTCCTTCTCCCCCAGGGAGCCCCTCCGGCCATGCCATGGGCGCAGCAGGCGTGTACTACGTGATGGTGACCGCCCTGCTCTCCATCGCGTCGGGCAAGAGGCAGTCGAAGACGCTGAAGTACTGGTAAGCCGTGTGCCTAAACTGGGGGCCGGGCTGGGGACTGCCCCAAATCCAAAAAGGGAGGCAGCGGATCCCGTATTGGCACATTTCGGGGTCCCCGATGGCAGCAGGATCTGACCCCAGTGCTGATGCATCCCCTCTGTCCCTTGCAGGGTTTTGTGGCTGGTGCTTTGGACGGGCTTCTGGGCGGTCCAGGTCTGCGTCTGTCTGTCCCGAGTCTTCATCGCCGCCCACTTCCCCCACCAGGTCATCGCGGGGGTCTTCTCCGGTGAGTGCACCCCCTGGGCCCGTCCCCTTCACCCCACAGCAGCCCCCCAGCAGAAGAGCTGAGGCCTTTTCCCATGTCTGGGGGATCCGTGGGGAGAGGCGGCCAAAGGGCTTGGGGCTGGCGACTCTTGGGGTGCAGCGGTGGCCGTGGGGGTGCTCTGACCACGCAGGAGCCCCCCCAGCTCTGAGCAGCGCTGCCTCCTCTCCCCGCAGGCATGGTGGTGGCCGAGACCTTCCAGCACGTCCGCTCCATCTACCACGCCAGCCTCCGCAGGTACCTGGGCGTCACCACCTTCCTCTTCAGCTTCGCCCTGGGCCTCTACCTGCTGCTGCGGGCGCTCGGCGTGGACTTGCTCTGGACCCTGGAGAAGGCGCAGAGGTGGTGCAACCACCCCGAGTGGGTCCACATCGACACCACCCCCTTCGCCAGCCTCCTCCGCAACCTGGGCATCCTCTTCGGGCTGGGGCTGGCCCTCAACTCCCACATGTACCTGGAGAGCTGCCGGGGGAAGCAGGGCCGGCAGCTGCCTTTCCGCCTGGGCTGCGCCGCCGCCTCGCTGCTCGTCCTGCACCTCTTCGACGCCTTCAGGCCGCCCTCCCACCTGCAGCTGCTCTTCTACGTCCTCTCCTTCTGCAAGAGCGCGGCCGTGCCCCTGGCCACCGTCGGCCTCATCCCCTACTGCGTCTCCCAGCTCCTGGCCACGCAGGACAAGAAGGGCGTCTAGGGGGAGGGCCGTGGCACGGGTGTCCCCCCAGGTAACGGCGCGGCCCTCCCCAGGGCAAGGAGCGGACCGTGGGACCGTGGGGTTTGTGCTGGTTCCTCTCCCCGTTACGGCTGCACGAGCAGTGCCACGACGCCACCGCCGGTGCCACGGGTGCTGGTGGCACGAGGGAGAGGGGTGGCACCGCCGGGAGCAGGGTGCTGTGCGCCCATGGGTGCTCAGGGGCTGCTGGCGAGGCGGCTCTGTCACGGGAACGGGCGGGCTGTGGGGGGGGAGAAGGATTTGGAGAGAAATTCGGGCTTGTGGGAGCCCCCCAGGCCCGTAGCCCATCAGCTCGTGGGCCCCGGTGTTCGGTATTCGCTGCTGCGTGAAGCAGCGTGGGGTTTAGGGGTGTGTGTGTGTGTGTGTGTGCGTGTATACAGAGGGGAAACAAGGGTATTTTATTAAAGCTGGAGGTGTATTTAGGTGGTGTATTTAGTCGGTGAGTTCAGCTGTCTCGTGGGCAGGGGGACGGTGACCGAGTGCCACCCGCAGGGACCGGGGAGGGGGCTGGAGGAAGGATGTCCCTGCGGGGACGCTGGGGACCAGCTGCCCTGGTGCAGGGCTCTCCTGCATCCCCAAACCCCTGCCCCATTGCTATGGCTCCTGCAGGGCTCGTGTGATTAACAGTGTGGGCTGGTGGCTCTTGGGGACACCACAGGCTGCCTGCAGCCCCCGTGTCCCCGTGGGGCTCAGCCGGTGGCTGGTGCCGCATGGTGATGAAGACCAAGCCCCAAATCACCCAAACCATGCAATAAAACCCAGGGAACGAGGGCTGCTGCTGCTGCTCACCCTCCTCCTGCAGCAAAGTGACCCAGCAGGAGCTGGTGGCCTGCACAGCCCTGACCCTTGGCCCGATCCTGCCGTGCACAAACAGCTCGGGAGCTGGCAGGGGGGGCTCTGCTCCGTGCGGAGGAGACCGCAGGTGCTGAGGCTGCTGCTTGTGGCAGATAAATGGTTTTAGGATGGAGGTTTCTCATGTTTTATTTCTCTGGTTATTATCGATATCTGGGCTGAAGTTGTAGTGCTAGATCTAGGAAGGAAGGAGGATAAAAAACAACAAACCACCTATTCCCAACTCAGGCTTTTTTTCAGCGTGGCTCCGCAGCGCCCCTTTTGTTTCTGCAGCTGAGATTGCGGCAGCCTCAGGACCCTCCCTGGCAGAAAAGGCAAACCCGAGAGGCAGCGGGGAGTTGTTGTTAATCCAGGAGGTTTTGCATCGGTACAGGCTCGGAAACAGCCGGTGTGGTGGGGTTGGATGTGGTTTTCTGTCTCCCTGCAGAACAAAGCACGAGGTGGCGGTTCCAGCTGCATTTAATTCTCATGTAGAGCCAGCACGTGTGCGTTACCATGGCTCTGCCAGGCCTCCTGCAAGCAGATGAACTTCCCTTTTTTAATAACGTGCTTGGTTTCTTGTTTTTAAAGAAAGGGCTCATGGAGACTTGCTCACAGGTTCAGCACTGCATCAGTTCTCTCTGAGCAGTAAGCAGCCACACCTGGTGCCCTTAGTTTGGTCTTCTAAAAGGGATTTACTGACTCGAGCATCCCTTCAACTCCTGCCACGTTTCTCTTTCTCCCTACAAAGGCTCAGCATAAAATCTTGAACCGTTTTTCTCTGTGGTTGCTTGAAAATACCACGTTCAAACCCTCTGCTTCTTACCAGTTTTCTGATCTTTTTAAAAATGCATCCAGTTTATTGTGAATAAATAGGTTCACAAAGCAACTTGTACAAACTAAAAGCCATGGTACACTGCAAGCCGGAGGGCCCTTCTCTTGGCTTGTAGGAAGCTCATAAAAGTAGTCATTAAGCTCTTTAATTGCTTAAGCAGTACCACTTGCCTGGGGAAATTAAAGAAACCTCGCAGCATCTAGGGTCAGAGAAAAACTAAGATGGCAGTTTCCCTCCCCCTGTCTTCCATGAGCCTCAAATCAGTTCACAAAAGATGCATTTTTTTTTTAAAGTCTTTATTCTCTGAGACAGAACTTGGTGGAGATGATGCAAAGCAAGGAAGACAGCCGTACTTTGAGAATTCTTTATGTTTCAGCTCTTTGGTGGCTGACGAATTCCTGGAGCAGAGCTTCCACTTCTCCTCGCCGACTCATTTTGGTCGCCTTGCCCTGAAAGCGGCCTCGCTTCCCAGCTCCTTTGCCTCCCAGCAGCTCTGCCACCCTGCAGTAACGACAGCACATGCTGAAAGCCACTCGTAGAGAAGAGGGTAACCTGCCCTAACCTGCTCCAGGCAGCAAAGAAGGGTCCATAGTCTAATTCTATGGCTCAGCTGCTTAGTCGGAATTCTTACTAATTTTAAAGAAACCACAGAACACGGTACCTGGGACCTAAATTCTCAACTGCTTCAACAGGTCCAGCTAGAAGGAAGAGTCCTGCTTCTTTTTCATCTCCCACCGTCAGGAACAGCAGGGTTTCCTGTGGACAGAGAGACAGACCTTGCTCCAGAATAGCCACTGCCCTCCTTTTCCAGAAAGGGTACAGAAACACGAGCTACAGGTCCCCTTAAAGCACCTAAACAAGTCATGAGTTCATTACTGAGACCAAAACTCAATTTGAAGTAAGAGGGAGAGAAGCTTTTGAATCTCTTGTAGTGAATCCTATGTTGTAGGGGACAGAACAGGTACTGGGGTATCCTTAACACAGCCGATGAAGATCTGTATGGCTTTTTAGGGACAGGCTCTTCTACAGTGCTCAGAATTTTTGCTGCTGTATTTCTTGACCATTGGGGATCCCCCTGTGCACTGAGGCTGCTGGGGACAATAACCTCATGCAATTTTTGGAAGGAAAGAGATGTGTAGCTTGTGACTGTGGCACAAACAGAAGCCAAGCCACCCCCTGTCTGTGCTACAGACTTGAAGGAAAACGCCACTGGTGTCAGGTTCGGCTGCATCAATGACTCACCTCTGTCCCTATCTCGTTAGCAATGATGTTCATGAACTCCGAGTCACCCTCTTTCCTGCATGGATGGGTAAAAAGCCACTTCAGAGAGGAAGAAAAAAATCCACACCAGAGTCCAAAACATCAATCACAAACCAAAGGCAGTGACAGTATCTAAGTTTAGCTTTTGTTAGTTTTCCATTTTGTTAAAGACTAAAATTTCCAACTGCCCTCAGAGAAGTTGAAAGAGCAGCCTATGATCATGCCTGGGGTTTTGATCTCTTGCTGTTAGAACGGAGACTATTTTTTTTCCTATAAATCTAAATCCTTTCTGTGCATTTCTGTGGATATATTAAGAATTATTTAAGTGTTTAAGGAATTGAGCTCCTCGGTTTTATTTGAAAGCACTGAGGGCAGAAAGAAATCAGACAGTTATTTCTTAGCTATAAAAACAGAGGAATTCAGTGACTGAATAACTTACACATTTCTTCCATTACACAACCTTCCAGAAGGCCCAGTCGGTTTAATATTTTGTTCACCTTGCTTATATTCACTCATGAGGAATGTTTGACTTTTAAGCAGTAATTGTTGTAAGCTTGAGTAGGTGTCAGAGATGCAGCTACCATAAATCACATAATATCCTGGCTTCCTCCCCCTGTCCCCGAACTCCCTGTACCTGTGTAACACAAACAGCTGACTCTGAACAGGTTTGCTCTTGAAGTCCCGTGCTATCAAAACAGCAATGTCTCTAAGCAGGTTCAAGTTATTCTGAAAGAAAAGTGAATGGAGAAGACGGATAAGCCAGCGTGAACACCAAGCTTTGTTCCCAGAGATGGAGCAGTTTTGATTAAAACGGATGCTTAAAATTCAGTGGCTTGGGCCTGCAGGGAGCAGACACTGTCTGCTTTTCTCAGCTATCCCCATACCTTCTGAAGCAGTTTCACTGAGCTCTGCAGTCTCTTCACGGCCTCAACGTGCTCACCGGGTCCATTTCTGAAAGAAAACAAAGAACCTTAATTGATACTTAGAAGGATGAAGGCAAGACTTATTAAGGGAGCAAAAGCAGATAGCGTATCATAAAGAACACCATGCAGATGCACCCTGAGGCTTATGTTGTATTTGTCAGAAGGAACAATGAAGATGAAAGAACCAAAGTGCCAAGGGTATTACTTGAGCAGTGAGGTTAGAGCCTTCTCAGTATTGTGACTTTGTTCAATGGACTTCAGAACTCTGTTCCCTGCCAGGAAAACCAAGTTGGTTTTGTTCTTTTTCCCTTTTTCCGTGCCAAGGAGTTTAATAACCTTGAAAAGAAAAACACTCTGGTCAGGAAAGGAGAACAGGATTTTGCTCTTACCCTTAAAAGCAAAGGGTAAGCAAATTAAAAAAAGCAAATTACCTAGTGGTAAAGGCCAGCCCCACCCCTTTACCACTAGGACAATTTCCAGCACAACCTGGATCCTCAGGACTTTCGTTGTGCTCAGTCTGCACGTGTGGAGCAAGGCTCCTGAGGGTAACTGGGCTGCAGCCCCCCTACCTGCAAGTCGCTCAGGTTGGAGACGTGAGTCCCGCAGCACATGTTGGAGTCTATGCCTTCGATGTTTATGACTCGCACTGGCCCTGTGTGGTCATCTGGTAAGCCACGGCTTCTCACCTAGCAAAGGGGGAGGAGAGCCAAGGAGGTGACACGTGTGCCACAACCGCTTTGGCCCCACGTTCAGTGTCAGCTCTACCCCATCGCTCACTGTTTCAACTTCGGGGTCATCCGCAGCCAGCTCCCGCACTGTCACGGGCACCCTCTCCCGAATCTTCTCGTTCACGCTCCTCTCCAGGGCTTCTATTTGCTCCGCCGTCACGCTGGGGGTGTCCAGCTCGATGATGCTTCGCTGACGGCCCAGCTCCCTGCATGGATGAGGAAATATCAGCTGCTGTGGAGAAGAGCAGCTGGAAGATCCCCCCGCGCAGCACCAAGTGCCATCCAGGACTAGCTTGTGGGGACGTGGGGACTGAAACGAACCACACCTCCCTCCTCTCCCTCCTCATTACAGAGCATCAGATGCGTACCATGCATTTGGAACACAAGATGAAGCAAATATTTTGTACAGCTTGTCTCCAGCCCAGTCAGTTCTCCCAGGCCCTCCGTGGTCAAATGAAATATCCAAGAGCAAACTGCTTTCAAATTATCAGCGATCACCTCCTCATGGCATATGCCAAACGAGATAAGACTGAGGTTCAAAGGAGCCTTTTTCCTGCTCACCATGAAGTCGTTTTGAATCCAAACATCAGGTCTGCAATGGCAGTGATGAGGTGCTGTCCTGGAAGAGATGTGCAAGCGACGGCTTTGAGTTTTGGACACGGGGAAAAAAATTCCCTGCCAAAGTGTATTTTTTCTGCTGACATTTCCACAAGGTTTGGGAACCAGCCCAGGGACATGCCTGGAGGTGTGGGGCTGCTGCTCGTGGTTGGAAACAGACAGAGGAGGCAGCTGCTGCCTCGCAGCCCGTGGGACCCAAGGGCAACACGGCGTGCTCGGAGCCCTCCCCAGTGGGTTGAGAGTTTGCTTCCAGCCCCCCTTGCAGCTGGTTTACAAACCACAGAGGGCTTCCCCTCCCAGGCAGCCCCAGGGACAGCCGGTGGGCACAGCGCTGTCAGCTCAGCCTTCCCCCTCCCCAAATTAGGGAGGACGAACTGGGCACTGACCCCCACCTCAGCCCAGACCGTGTGGCTCTGCCCAGTGCCCCTGTGGCTCGGTGCTACTGGTGTTAATGGGCACGGACCTGAGTGCTGCTGCATGTGGTCGAAGCGCCGCTCCCAGTCCAGCGACAGCAGCACGGAGGCACCCGGCTCCAGCTCCTTCTGCACGAAGTGAACGGCCTCGGGGCCCCGGCGGGTGACACGCAGCACGGGCACATCGCCGATCAGCCCACGGTCATCAGGCTGTGGGAGATGGGGGTCAGTGGCTGGGCCTGGGTCCCGGTCCCGGTGCAGGGTTCTGCTTCAGGGTCCTGGGTCCCAGTTTAGGATACTGGGTCCTGGTGCAGGGTCCTGATTTAGGGTCCCAGTCCCAGGTCCCTGTCCCAGTTTCAGGGTCCCAGTCCAGGATCCCAGTCCCGGTAGAGGGTCCTGATTCAGGGTCCCAGTCCCAGGTCCCAGTTCAGGGTCCAGATCCCAGTTCTGTCTTGGTTTAGGACCCCAGTCCATGATCCCCATCCCAGTACAGGGTCCTGATTTAGGGTCCTGGTCCTGGGTCCCAATTCAGGGTCCCAAGTCCCTGACCTGGGTCCCTGTCCTGGTTCAGGGTCTCAGTCTAGGATCCCAGTCCTGGTCCAGGGCCCTGATTTAGGGTCCCAGTCCCTGTTCAGGGTCCCAGTCCAGGGTCCTGGTCCTGGGCCCCTATCCCAGTTCAACATCCCAGTCCAGGATCCCAGTCCCAGTGCAGGGTCCCTTGTCCCAGTTCCTGGTCCCAGATCCCAGCCCCGTCCCCCACCCCCTCCATACCTGCCCACCACCCTCGGGGAAGAGGATGGTGTCCTCCAGCACCACCTGGAAGCCCCTCACCGGCTCCCCGCCGCCCTCGAGCCGCAGCTCCGCCGCCTGGCACGACACCACCTTGGTGGCGAACTGCAACAAAGAGGTGGCAGCACCGTGAGGGACGGGACCAGACCAGGCCTTACCGGGCTGTACTGGGCCATAAACCCTGGCCCCGTTACTACCTGCCGGGCCCAGCTGTCCCGCTGGCACTGGAACACCATGGTGGTGGCGGCACGGAACAGGACCGGTGACGGTGACGGCGAGCGGCGAGGTACACGGGGCTGCGGGGCCCTGCCTCCCTCCACGGAAGCTCCTCCCCCTCCCGGTAAACCCCACCCCCTCCCGGTAAGCCCCGCCCACCCCCGGTATGCCCCACCTCCTCCCGGTGCCCCCCCGGACCCCCCAGGAACAGCGGACACGGGCGTAGGGTGGTGGCTGCTGGTGTTTATTGACCGCACCGGTTACCGGTGCTGGGGGACCAGCGCTGCTGCCGTGCTCCTTCTGAGTCCTGCCCGCGTCCCGGTTCGGCCGTGTTCGCTGCCGGTGCACCGGGAGAGCCTCACGGTGGCGGTGGTGGCCCACGGGAGCTGGGCTTCAGAGGTCGTCCTGTGGAAAGGGACAAGGAGCAAAGTGGGACGGGGCCTGGTAGCTGGCCGTCCGGTGCTGCCCGGGAGCCTCCCTGCAGCGGGGATGGCAACCGAGGGTGAGCACAGCACCAGAGGCTCCTGCAGTGCCCAGGGAAGGCAGCTCCGGGCTCTACTCACGTCCAGGTCAGTCCATGGTCGGGGCAGGGCCCTTGTCCGTGACCTTCTGCAGGAGCTGGATGGGGAACAAAGGTCCATTGTGGGCACTCTGCGTGCCCGGCTTCCCCCTGCCTCCCCGAGCACCCAGCCCGCCCTTCGCCGGGCTCACCTCGGCGTACTCCTCCATCATGGCCCTCTCCACCTCCTCGTCCCCTTCCCAGTCTCGCCAGTTGTCGAAATCCACAGAGAGCCAAGCTGGCTGCGGGCAGAGAGAGCAGGCCTTGAGGGAGGGAGCAGCGCAGAGGGGACCTGGTGGCCCTGACCTCGCAGGGAGTGAGCACTGGGTGCTGCTGCCGAACACCACGAGGGCTGGGCAGGCGTGGGAGAACATCCCTGCATCTGCAAGGACCGATCCTGATGCAGCCCACGTTGAGGGACAGGGATGCCAGAGGGCAGAGGTGGGCTGGGAGGCAGCGGGAGGCATTCCTGGCTCGTGGGGGCTCTGTGTTGGGGTGCCCCAGGGGGTCTCATCCTGGGGGCAGGTAGAGCCCAGGACGCCAGCGTGCTGGAGACAGGCAGCCCCCCGGGCTCTCTTTCCTGCAGGATGCCACACGCACCTTGATGTTCTCCTTGGTGATACGGGGCCACGCCACTTTCTCCTTCCATTTCCTTATGAAGCACGTGATGGAGCGATCAGAGCGCTTGTCCTGTGAGTCCTGCCAAGAGTTGGGGATGCCTCACCTCAGGGCCTGCCAGACTCCTCTCTAATCCACTGCAGACGCACGCTCAGACACTCCCAGGCTGTGGGACACAGCACCACAAGGGCTGTTTGTGGCTCAGCACCGTGCTGCTAGTGACAGACCCAAGCTCAGGGCTCCCAGCCTTGTGCTTGCTCCACTCGAGCTCTCAGGAAACAGCCAGGATTCAGCTCAAGGCAGTGCTGCTCGTGGCATCACGGGCCGCGTTCAATTCTAAGCCTGCCACAGGCTGCCAGGGAACAGTTTGCTGGGGAGGGCTCACCTTGGAGTTCACCCTGCCGTACAGGTTGATCTCATTGTAGAACTCCACTCCATCGGCATTTTTGCAGCTGCCAAAACACAAACACTCGTTTTAGGACAGGGCTGAGGCCACGTACCACAAGCTCTCTGGTCCCCAGTCCAGGGCTTGCAAACCAGCAGCAGCTGACCTGAACACCACCCGGTGATCCTCGATGACGACTTTAACGTCTCTGCTGTCCTCCACGCAGAACTCCAGGAAGACGTACCGCGGGCGGTCGTACCACAGCGTCTTTGCGTGCTGCCTGTCAAAACACAAGCACAGCGGGCGTTTCTGTGATGCCTTTGGCCTGGCAGCACCAGGCCGGGACTGTACGTGAGGTGTGGGCCAGGGATTTGGGGCTGGGCCGTGTTTGTCCCAGTGAATGCCATCAGGGTCTGTGCTGCGGGGCTGCTTATCACAGAACCACAGAATCATCTAGGTTGGAAGAGACCTCCAATCTTCCACTATAACTCTCTCCAGGAACCTCCTGGACTGCTCCCTCTGAGCTGTATGGCATTTCCAGGATATGTCTGGGACGCTGAAGTCCCCCACGAGAACGAGAGCTGAGGATTTTGCAACTTTTGCCAGCTGCTACTAGCTGATTTCTCATCCGTCTCCTCATCCTGGCTTGGCTTTAAAGCTTAGTGACATGGTTTAGTGGAGGGCTTGGTAGTGTCAGGTCAGAGGTTGGACTGGGTGATCGTGGAGGTCTCTTCCAACCTCGATGACTCTGGGATTCGAAGATCACCGAGTCCAGCCTCTGACCTAAGGTGTTCAGTCGTCCACTGAACCATGTCACTGAGCTCTACATCTAAACATCTTTTAAAGACCTCCAGGGATGGGGACTCGGCCACTTCCCTGGGCAGCCCATCCCAACGCCTCACAACCCTTTTGGTAAAGAAGTTCTTCCTAATATCCAACCTAAGCCTCACCTAACAACCTTTCTCTTCCTAATATCCAAATTAAACCTCCCCTGGCACAACTTCAGCCCGTTCCCCCTCGTCCTGTCACCGGGCACACGGGAGAACAGCCCGACCCCCCCTTCAGCCTCCTTTGGGGTTCCTGTGGGGTGCGATGGGGCCACCCCTGTCACCCCTCCCCGTGAGCTTTCTTCTCCACCCCCAGCCCCCCCCCCAGCCTCTCCGCACTTCTCCGGACCCTTTTTAGCCCCTCCACGTCCTTTTTGTGGCGATGGCCCCAAACCCGGCTACCCACGGCTCCCCCCGGGACCGGTCCCGGTCCCGGGACGTGCCCTGTCCCGCCCCCTTATTTCCCCAAACCCCCCTTCTCGGGGTGCCCCCCCCCACGTCCCCGGTGCTTTCCCCGGCTCCGTCCCGTGCCCGTTCCCACCTCGCCATGTCCGAGCCCGGCCCCGCCCCGAGCTATTCGGGACCGGGGGGCACCGGAGGGGGGGGGACCGGGAAGGAGGGGGGGGGCAAGCGGGGGACCGCGCCGAGCCGCGAGGGGGCGCTATGCGGGGGGGGGGCTCCGGTACCGCGCAAGCCCCGAGCACCGGGAGGCGGGGGGGGGGCAGGGCACAAAATGGCGGCGGCGCCGCGCCGGTAGCATCGCCATGGAGGCGGAGGGGGGACCGGGGGGGCCGGGGGAGCGCTGGGCGCCGGTGGGCGCCGTGACAGCGGAGGAGGAGGAAGAAGAGGAGGAGGAAGGAGAGGAGGAGGAGGAGGAGGCGGCGGGGTCGCCGCGGTCGGTGCCGCGGTTGCGGGCGGAGCGGCGCCGGTTGCACGGGGCGCTGCTGGCGCTGGCCTCGCATTTCGCTCAGGTGCAATTCCGCCTGAGGCAGGTGGCGAGGGCCGGGCCGGGAGAGCAGCAGCGCCTGATCCGGGAGCTCGAGGATTTCGCCTTCCGTGGCTGCCCCGCGCCCCTCGCCCACGGTCTCGGGGACGGCCCGGTGAGCTGGGGGGGGGGGGGGGGGAAGGCGCCGAAGGGATCTGGCCCCGAGCACGGTGACGGGACGGGGAGGGGGGGGGGGTAACTAAAGAGAGCGGGTTTGGGTCAGGTATAAGGAAGAAATGCCTTAAATTTCGCCCAAGGGGCATGGTTTGGTGGGTGATGTTGGTGTTGGGGTGATGGTTGGACTGGGTGATCTCGGAGGGGTTTTCTAACCCTAATTAGTGTAAAATCGTTAGTTGTGAGGGTGCTGGTGCGAGCTGGAGGAGCTTTGGGTGCCTCTTCCCGGCAGGGCTCAAAGCCAGGTTGGACGTGGCTTTGGGCAACCTGAGCTAGAGGCAAGGCATCGTGCCCACGGCAGGGGGGTGGAACAAAATGAGCTTCACCATCCCTTCCAGCCCAGGCGGTTTTGGGATTCAAAGACTTGTTTAAAATCCAGTTAGTTGTAGCTGTGCTCCTGCCTGCTGCTGACACAGGTGAGCAGCTGTCGTGGCCGCCCAGCACGGCTCCGTCCGGAGGCACCGTGCCCCTCCCAGGGTGCGGCAGGCTCCAGGTAGGCAGCGAGCAGGCAGGCGGCTCTGCGGGAAGCTCGGTCGCAGGAGCTTTCACCCACTGAAGCCAGATTGCTGGGACAGCCCTTAAAACACCCAGCTCTGAGATAAGGCAAAAGCTCAGCTCGGTGTGATGCTGACATTTGGCAGCGTCTCGGAGGATCTTTGGTGCCCAGGCGTTACGTGGGTGCTTGGAGCAGTGTGTGCTGTGTGCCAGCCCCACACCATGGGGTTTGGCTCTGGGAGGTTTGAAGAGATCCTTCTGTCAGATGAGCTGATGTGACACTCTCTCCTCAATGTGCACACACACCTTTTTCTTGAGGTGGCTTGTAGCGTTCAGTAGTTAATTGCATGAGCTGAAGGAAATTCTCCTTATGCCATGATGCTGTTCTCTGTTGATGCTAAATGTTTAATTTAGTTTACTGGTAACTTTTTTCAGAGTGAACAGGAGAAGCAGGAGCGAATTGAGGTGCAGAAGGAAAAGCAGAGAGAGCTGATCTTGCAGCTTAAGACACAGCTGGATGACCTGGAGACGTTTGCTTACCAAGAGGGCAGCTATGACTCTCTGCCACAGTCTGTGGTTATGGAAAGACAACGGGTAAGGCTCTTCAAGTCATTCTGCACGTGCTTATCCTTAGGATTTGTGAGCCTCTTAAGGACTGGCCAAATCATCTGTTCTGTATTTCTCGCTGGCAGCTGTAATTAGCTGTATTAATAGTTAGTCTGCGTGCATAAATGTGATCCTGTCATCTCTTGTAATTTTCAACGTATAACAAAGGAGCCTGTTGCCAAGGTAGTGAATGGAGTATTTTGGAGCTCGTGGGCAGCTGCGTCACACGGTGAGATCATGCTACTGATTGGTGTTTCGTAGATGATTATAGATGAGCTGATAAAGAAGCTGGACATGGACTTGAGTGCGGACATTGCAACGCTCTCTCCAGAGGAATTGCGACAGCGTGTGGATGCTGCCATAGCACAGATTGTTAATCCGGCCAGGGTGAAGGAGCAGCTGGTGGAACAACTGAAGACGCAAATAAGGGACCTTGAAATGTTCATCAACTTCATTCAGGGTCAGTGCTCAGTTTTTAGATGAGCATATTGTATTGTTTTGTAATTCCTTGGCATAGTTATGAGGAGGAAGGCCACAGATGTCAGAGGATGGATGTAGGAATGGTGCCTGGGTCATGGGGAATTACAGATCTCTGAGCTGGTGGTGGGGAGAATGAGACTGACAAGGAAGGTGCAAGGAGGTCTAAGGGAATCTTGACCTTAGTACTTGGGATACGCAGTTTAAACTCACAATTGTAAAGTAATGGTGTGAAACTCTTCTTCCAGATGAAGTCGGAAGCCCTGGTAAGGCAGAAGATGGACACTGTGAGTGCACAGGTAGAAAAGACAGTGGTGGCTCCTGTAAACCAAATACCCGGTCTTCTGGAAGCAGAGGTAGGCACTGCTTGGCTTGGAGCCTCTCTTCCTGCTGTAGCTCATGTGAGGTTCATTGGGCATGAACCAGCATCCTGTCACGTTAGCCTGTTTTGGGTCTGTTATCTTCAAACTACCCATTTGATATTATACTGTTTAAAGGCTGATCACTATATTCTCTTTGGTTGTACTGCCCACCAGAAAAAGCTGCTGTAGGATTTCTTCTCTGTAAGTGATTTAAGACAGATCTGATTGTTGAGAATGACTGTTGAAGTTTGCTTTTTCTGGTTGGGTTCAATGCTTTGCAACTAGAGAAAGTGCCATCGGTCCTACTGACAGCAGCTCCCGAGGAAAGTCTCTGGTGGAGGAGGAGCAGATGTGTACTCCCCATGTGTATATGACAGAGCAGAGATGTTGGTTTGCTCAGCAATTAAGGTCTCGCTCCTTAATGAAAGTATTTTTTTCCTCTTTTTCTAACCTGATCAGTGAACCCGGAAGACGCCAGAAAGATGCGAGAAACGGGCCTGCACCTCATGCGTCGCATGCTTGCTGTGCTGCAGATATTTGCTGTTAGTCAGTTTGGTTGTGCTACTGGTCAGATTCCTCGGTCCCTCTGGCAGAAAGACCAAGCCAACAAGGACTATTCCCCCTTAATTAAGAAACTGGAGCTGTCGGTAGACCGGGTGAGGCAGCTAGCCATGAAACACCAGCAGGAAGACCACGTTATCAGTTCCTCCGACCTGCAGGATATTCCCTTAGGAGGGAGAGATGAGCTGACTCTGGCTGTGCGGAAGGAGCTGACCATCGCTTTACGAGACCTGATGGCTCACGGGCTCTACGCCTCTTCGCAAGGGATGAGCCTGGTGTTGGCACCCATCGCGTGCTTGATTCCTGCGTTCACCTCCTCACCGCAGACGATGCATCCCTGGGAACTCTTTGTGAAGTATTACAACGCTAAGAACGGACAAGCCTTTGTGGAGTCTCCAGCTCGCAAGCTCTCCCAGTCCTTTGCCTTGCCTGTGACAAGAGGAGTCACCATCACCCCAAAACAGAGCCTGCTGACGGCCATACACACTGTCCTCACTGAGCACGACCCCTTCAAGCGCAGCGCGGACTCGGAACTGAAAGCTCTGGTGTGTATGGCGCTGAATGAGCAGCGCCTGGTCTCCTGGGTAAATCTCATCTGCAAATCCGGAGCTCTGGTACAATCTCACTACCAGCCATGGAGCTACATGGCAAACACGGGCTTTGAGAGTGCGCTCAACATCCTCAGTCGCCTGAGCAACTTGAAGTTCAACCTCCCAGTTGACCTGGCCGTCCGGCAGCTGAAAAACATCAAAGATGCTTTTTGATGTATTTTTATTCTAGATCATCCACTTTCCACAAGTAGGCAGCTGTTGGGCTCCAGAAGCCTGGCTTTTTTTTTTTTTTTTAAGACCAAATTTGGCTCTTTAAAATTTATATCTGCTTTTAGGGAAAATCTTACGGTGTCCTGATGCTGGAGGTTGGGTGCAGTACAGCACCCCACCCTGCCCTCACTGCAGTTCTGAATAGCAAAACGCTGCTGGGTGAGGGCTGACATTCAGGCTGCTCCCTGCGGAAATCCCAAAAACTCCTTTTTTTGAAGCTTTTTGTGCAGAGCCCGGAGCACCGGTGGTGCGGTGCTCCCTAGCGGCTGCGTTAATCGCTTTGGCAAGCCTGCGCGGGGGGAAAACGCGTTTCCAGCTGCTCTGTTTTAATTCTTGTCGGTTCCTAGCCTTCGTGCCGCTAGCGCGCTCGTTGACTTTTTGTGGTTATTTATAATCAGAGTTTAATTTATCTGTAACTCCTGGGGGGGGGGGCGGGAGAAGGGAGGCTGTGCTTGGTGTAACGGCAGCACCTCTGGACGCGGGCTGCGAGCGGTTCTGAAATGAAATGGGTGAGCAAACGGCTGCCTCCGTGTCTGCCTTCGTGCCGGCCCCGCCGCCACCAGGGAGCACCGGGGGGCACCGGGGGAGGCCTTGAGGCCTACAGCAGGCCCGGGCCCGTTGCCTAGCAACCGCGGCGCCGCTCTGCGCATGCGCAACCCTGTTCGCGGCGCCCTGAAGCGGAAGTGACGTCAGGTGAAAGGCCGGCGGGCTTCCTTTTCCGGTCTGGGCGCCATCGGAGCGGCTGTGTCGGTGAGTGGGGCCCGGCGCCGCCATCCGTCGCCATCCGCGGCCCTCGGGCGCCATCCGCTGCCATCGCGGGGCCGGGGGCGGCCGGGGCCCTCCGCTGAGCGCCGCGCGCTGTGTCCGCAGAGATGGGCAAGTTTATGAAGCCGGGGAAGGTGGTGCTGGTGCTCGCCGGCCGCTACTCGGGCCGCAAGGCCGTCATCGTCAAGGTGAGCGCGGGGCCGGCCTGCGGGGGGCCTGCGGGGCCGCCCCCTCCCTCCCCCGCTCCTGGCTCCGTCCCGGATCCGCGCTCCCGGCCGGTTCTGGGCAGCGGCTGAGAGCCCCGCGGCGCTGCCGGCCCGTGCCGGTGTCGGTGCTTTTGGGGGGGCTCCCCGAGGGGGCTGGCGCTCGGCGGGGCCCATCGCGGGGCGGGCGGTGTGTTTCAGAACATCGATGATGGCACCTCCGACCGGCCCTACAGCCACGCACTGGTGGCGGGCATCGATCGCTACCCGCGGAAGGTGACGGCGGCGATGGGCAAGAAGAAGATAGCGAAGAGGTCCAAGATCAAGTCGTTCGTGAAGGTTTACAACTACAACCACCTGATGCCCACCCGGTGAGTGCGACAGCTTCGGTGTGGTGGCAGGAGCAGAGGAGCAGCGTTGTGTGCTCTCAGCGGCTGCAGCTCTCGTGTGTTCTCTTTGCAAAGTGCTGGGAGGTGTTGAGGGTCTGGCTTGCGTGGTTGAATGAGTGTGAGGCGTGCACTGTGTGGAAACAACCCAGCAGGTTGTAAAGCTGATGTGAAAGCAGCAAGCTGCTGAAATCCTCAGCTGGCTCTTCACTCCAGCCACCTTCAGCCTCAGCTGATCTTGGGATGTCAGTGGAAGAAACCTAAAAGCAGTCAGGGTGGGGTTGTGACAGCTCTTAGGGCCCAGTAGTGGGGTTTCCTGTCCAGTTGCAGCTGCTGCAGCATACAAAGTGCTGGCCAGAGGAGCTTGTTCCCTGTCACAAGTTACCTTTTATGCATTGAATTGAACGTCTTGATGCTTCGGTGGTTTGTTGACTACCAGAACTAAACTTGATTTAAGTGCTCGAGGCTCTTTAATCTGGCCCTAATTCAGGCATCTTGACAGGTCTGGTTTGGGGCTGTGTTTTCACCCTTCATGGCCATCTGGTGGCTGTCTCACGCTGTGCTGCTCTCATCCAGGTATTCCGTTGACATTCCCCTGGACAAAACCGTTGTCAATAAGGACGTGTTCAGGGACCCCTGCTCTGAAACGCAAAGCGAGGCGTGAAGCCAAGGTGAAGTTTGAGGAGAGGTGAGTTGGAAGCTCCTCGATGGCACCAGCGCTCGCTGGAGGACTTGGTGAGGTTGTGCCAGAGCCCTGCTTGAGCCCTGGATTGGACACTTCTGCTCTGACTTCCTCGAGCGTGCTTTTGGGGTGGATTAGTTCTCTCCTGGTGTGTTTGCTCAGCCTCATGAGTGAGAACCTGCATTTCACTGAGAGCAGGAGCGGCTTGGGAGCAGCACTCAGCTGATGGGGGCGTTTATTTTGCTGCTGCTGCTTTGTGCCCACGCAGGTGGGGCTGTTCCAGTGCCACACGCTGATCTCTCGCTGTCGTGGTGCCTCGTGGCCATCGGGTGTGTGTCCCTAGGCTTAGCCTGACAGGGCCATGCTGGCGCTTTGCCCACAACCCTTTGACATCAACGCCCCTTGGTTTCAGCATTTGCTTCAGAAACTCCAATGCAGGGAGTTTTAAAGAACAAATAAATCCAAACAAAGCGTCCGGTGGAACCACCCCGTGCTGCTCTCCCCCTCCTCGGTGTGAGCACTGCTGCAGTGGGGGTGTCCTTCATGAAATGATTTAATGAGGGAAATCTGCAGGGTGTTACTCCTGCAGGGCCTTCAGCTTTTTAAGGAAGGTTCAAAGTGGGGTGCAGAGAGCAGGCGAAGTACTTGTGGGTGAGGGGGGTGTGGCGTTTTCCCGGAGTAGAAGGACACGGACGGAGCAGGTGCGTGTTTGACTCTAATGGCTGTGTTCTTTCTCTTCCAGGTACAAGACGGGCAAGAACAAGTGGTTCTTCCAGAAGCTACGATTCTAATCTTGTAATAAGGCGGTGTCAATAAATGTTTATTAAAAACCATTTTGTTTCGTTGTACAAAACAGTGGTGCCAGGCCCCTCTCCCTGCAGTGCAGGCTTGCTTGGTGTTTCCATACAAGAGGTGGGAAAGGAATTGTAGCCCAGGCAAACTTCTGAGAACTCAGGAGCATTTCAGGCTTTGAAGCTGAGCTGAGCTGGCTGCAGGACCATCCTGGGCCCTTCTCAGTAGGAGACGACCTTTTCCCCTCTTTTCTGCTGCTGAAGCAGGATTTATGTTCTGTCCCTGCCGCTGTGTTGAAATGTCTCACCCCCCAAAACTCAGCTCTTCCCTAAGAGGGCAAATTCCTTCTCCAACTCGCAGAGGGGAGAGGAATGGTGAATTCCAGCTGCTGCCTTTGCTTCTTCTGAGCATGGAGCGGTGCCAGGAGCCCACTACAACATTTTTTTGGCCACCTCTGCACGCTACCGGCCAAGCGAGGCCACCACCAGGGCTTAAACCCGTCCCTGGCCGGGCTCAGGCTCACCGGGACAGCCCCGGAGGCGGAGCCGGGGCTGAGGAAACGAAAGCGAAAGCGGCGGGGGCGGGCGGGGCGGCGGGGGAGGGCTCCCGGGGTGCCGGTGGGTCCGGCCCCGCCGCCCTTTCGCCATGGACTCGGAAGAGGTGACGGCTCCGTGCGGGGCTCCCGGGGCCGGGCCGAGCCCCGGGACCGGGCGGTGGGAGGGGAGAGGAAGGGTCCGGGGGGCTCGGGGAGCGCGGTTCTGACCACCCCTCGTCCTCCAGAGCTCCTTCGTGCGGCTGGAAGGCCCCCAGGGCCTGCAGGACAGCGGCTCGGAGATGACCCCCGAGCAGGTCCGGCAGGAGATCGAGCGCTACAAGGTGCGGCCCGGCTCGGGGAGCTGGTCCCCGAGGGATGGGGGGGGGGTCGGGTCGGATCCAGGGCTCTGCCACCACCAGCCCAAAACCCCCCCCAGGCCTCCCTGGGCTGGAGCTGCCCCCCCAAAACCACCCCAGGCCCTGGGGATTGCTGGGTGCTCAGGTTTTTTGGTGGTGACTTTTCCCCCCCGTCTCCTTGCAAGCTCCCTGCATCGAGCCACCAGCAGATTTCTGGAGTTGGTTTTTCCAAGGAGTGTGATCTGTCAAAATGTTCCGCGAGAGGCAGGAGCGGTGGAGAGGGGGTGTTCACGTGGATGAGAGCTCCTGGACCGGGTTGCGGGGCTGTGCTTGGGGTTGGATGCGCAGTGGGGTCGGCAGTGTGCCCATTTCTGATGGGTCCCTCTGGCACAGGAGCTTTGTAGTGCTGTGGACCAAGAAAACGCCGCGCTACAAAAGGAAAAAGAAGAGACAGAGCAAAGGATACAACAGGTGAAGAACACGATAGAGCTCATTCAGGAAAATATCCAGCAGCACAATCCTCTGGAAGATCTAATCCAATCCCTCCAGGTGAGTGCTCGGAGGAATTGTCTCGGGCTTGGGAAGGTTGCAGCAGGCGGCCGGGCTCGCAGCTCTGCGGGGACTGGGACGCAGCAGGGGGTTTGTGGAGCAGCACGGGGGGGAAAATGAGTTCATGCTGGGGTGGCAGGAGGACGGGCTGCAGTAGAAAGCCTGGGAGCCATGGCAGGGCTGCAGGGAGCCGAGAAGAAAAGTGGCGTGGCTGGAGCTGGATCTGAGCGCTTCGATGAGAGAGCAGCGTAGCGCTGGGCTTCGTGGTGGTTCCCTTACTGCTCCCTGTTTCTTTCCTTCCAGTCCGAAATTTTTTTAGCAAAGGAGGAGAAGAGCGGACTGAAGCAGGAGAAGGAGATGTTGGAGGAGAAACTGGAAGAAATGAGGAAGAAGGGCTGGGAGGATCCGATGATGGTAACGGAGTGTGTGTGGGTGAGGGGTGCGAGCCAGGCTGCTGGTAAACGCAGCTGGGCAGGGTGCTGCTGCTCTGCCAGTGCCACGAGAGGTGGCTTTGGGGCTCTGGGCACAGCTGGACCCCAAGAGAGACCCTGCTAAGGCTCGCCAGCCGGTTGTTCTGAGCCGCCAGCTTGCTTCTCATCCGTGCATTGGGCCAGGCCCCGTGCGGGGTGCAGTCTCCTCCAGCCGCTGTGTGCTCTAACCTAGATGTTGCCTGCCCTGCCAGAGAGGAACCTGGTGTTTAAGGGACTTGTGACAGACAAGGAGGACATGAACAAGCTGATGCTCACCCCGCTGATCCGCTACCCTCTGCAGGGCGGCTCAGCTCTCATCACCTTTGAGAAAGCAGAGGGTAAGAGCGAGAAGAGTGCTGCCACGGGCAGCAAAGCCAGCCCCGTGCAAAGTTATACCCTTTCCCCAAGGCGTTTGCTGCTCCGTGCCCCGTCCTGCTGAGCCACCAGGCTGAGGGCTTTCCCTTTTCGCAGTGGCCCAGAGGGTGATCGAGGTGAAGGAGCACACGGTGGAGCTGAGCAACGGGGAGAGCCTGGAGGAGCCTGACCGCTGCCGAATGCGAGTGCAGGCGAGCCCGGTGGACGTGCTGCTGCCATCCGCCCTGGAGGTACATCCCCAGGGCCTGCAGCTGCGTCCTGCTCCCAATTCCTGGGCTGGGTCACTGCTACCAGCTCAGCCCAGCACGTCCGTGCTGCAGCTTTGTTTCTGCTCCCTGAGCTCTGCCCTGCTGGGGTTCTGACCGGCCCGTGCTGCTCGCAGATCGGGCTCGCTCGGAGCAGCAAGAGCATCCTAGGTGTCCGGTCTGCCCAGCCGGGTCATCCCCGAGGACATCCTGCTGGACAAGCTGGAGCTCTTCTTCAGCAAGACGAAGAATGGGGGCAGCGAGGTGGAGAGCAGGGAGTTCCTGGACGACTGTGGCCAGGTGGTGCTGACCTTCGTGCACGATGGAGGTGCGTGGGGAGCACGGAGCTCGGGCTGCCAGCAAGAGGGGAGTGATGCAGACAGCTCTGGGGGGCAGTGGTTGTCTCCTGAGAGCAGATGGAGCTGAGGCTCTGCAGAACGGGGATGGGAGAGTTGGAGCTGGGCAGTTCCAGTCGTGGTGTCCGTGCCAGGAACGTAACCAAGAGTTCAGTGGGGGCATGGGGGAGCTCAGGGCTTTTCTCTCCATCTGCAGTGGCTGAGCAGCTCATCGCTAGAGGGCAAGTCCAGGTGCCTATCGGGAAAGCAAAATACAAGCTCAAAATATCGCCCTACATGAGAGGAGAGGTCACTAACATCCAGGTAAGACCACTCACCCCGCTGCAAAACAGCACCTGCAGGCTGGGGGCTCGTGGAGCTCTGCCCCCCGCAGCGCCGTGCAGCCCGAGGGGGTGAATTTTTGTAGGGTTTTGCCCCCTTTTAGGGTTCTGCCTCCCCTCAGGGCCTCGCAGCATGGGGCTGCTGCAGCCCAGCCCTGTTCTCTCCCCAGTTCCAGCCCTCCCGCTGCGCCAGGACCGTCCTGCTGTCGGGGATCCCCGACGTGCTGGCCGAGGAGCCCATGAGGGATGCTCTGGAGATCCACTTCCAGAAGGAGAGCCGTGGCGGGGGAGAGGTGGACACCTTGGGCTACGTGCCGGCGGGGCGCCGGGCGGTGGCTGTGTTCGGCGAGTAGCTGGGCTACCCCTGAGCACCGCCGGGGCGTGAAACGAGTGAATTTAATATTAAAAGTGCCTGCGGGGAGCTCCGTGTGTGTTGTGCTGGGGACGGGGATGGGATGGGGACGGGGACGGGGACGGGGACGGGGATGGGATGGGGATGGGGATGGGGACAGGATGGGGACGGAGATGGGGATGGGGATGGTGGAAGAGCCGCGGGGGCACCGGGCCGGGGCCGTTCCGTTCCGTTCCGTTCCGCAGCCGCCCGGGGTTCGTTGTGCCCGGGGGCGGTGCCGGCCGAGGCGGGGCGGCCCCGCTTTCGCTTTCGTTTCCCGGTGGCTGCCGTGGGGCCCGAGCCGGGCCGTAGGTTACCGGGACCGAGCTGCGCGGAGCTGCGCGGAGCTGGGGCGGCGGCACCGGGGGTCGGGAGGAAAGGAACGGGCACGACCGGCCCCGGGGGCTCGGGCAGCGGCGGAACGGACCCGGGGGGGAGAGGAGAGGCTCCGAGGGGTGCCCGGTACCCGGTGCCGCCTCGCCGGGGGCATGGCAGGCCACACGGTGGAGGTGCGGGGCATCCCCACCGACCTGCCCCCCGACAGGGTGGCCGACAAGCTCACCATCCACTTCTTGCGCTCCCGGAACGGCGGCGGGGAGATCGCCGATGTCCAGGTGCTGCCGGGGGCACGGGCGTGTGCCCTCATCACCTTCGAGGCTCTGGCAGGTAACGGTGGGGGTCCCGGGGGGCTGGGGCTCTGCCCGCACCCCAACACCTCGCCCTGTCCTCCCCCGCCTCGTCCCAGCCATACAGAACCGAAACAAGGCCAAGAGCGACACCGGTGCCTGTTTTTTTTTTCCCCCCACGCAGTGGCCCAGAGGATCCTGAAGACGAAGAATCACGTCCTGGCCATCGGGGGGAAGAAATATCCCCTGGAGGTGACGGCGCACGTGGTGGAGCTGAGCCCCGACGAGGTAGCGAGGGGCAGGGAGCTCCTGCCCGCGGGGGCTCCGCGCGTGGCTGCGACAGCCCCAGCTGGCTCCCAGACAGGCTTCTGTGCCTGGAAGGGAGAGCTTGCACCCTCCTTTAATCTTAATTGGATTTCATGTTTATTCATATTCAAATGAGGATTCTTATTTATTTTTTTTTTCACGCTGATAACGGCGGGGACAGCCAAGCAGGCTTTGCACTTGGTCATTTGGTATTTGTGCCTGTCACAGCAAGGGAGAATAATTAGACTGGAGGGGAGGGGTGATTTTCCCCAGCCCATCTGGTGGCCCACAGGGGGATTCTGTTAATGCTGTGGCTCTGCCATTAGCTGGACACTGTGTCATTAGCTGGACACGCACAGGGTATTTTTCCTCTCCCTCTCAGGAGAGATTAGGAGACAGACACGCTGGTGTCTAGGAGGCACTGGAAATTTCTTGTGTCTTCCTCCCCATGTGATATCTTCACGTTTGAGTGATGAAAATGAGAGCGTGGCCATTAGCCTGGCATTGGAGACCTTTCCACAAACCTGTGGTGTCAGAAGCACTACAGCTGGAGCATGGGGAGAGCGAGAGGGAAGAGGTATTTCAGATACAGAAGGGAGAGTGGATTTCTTGGTCGTGGGCTGTTTGCAGAGCTGCCAGTGTGTAGAAATGGGGCTGCGTATCTGCGCTTTGCCTTTTGCATTCCTTGTTTGCACAAAGCCTTTGGTTCTGCCTGTGCTGTGCTCCCACTGAGCCTGAAAGCAGGATGCTGAGAGAGAGGGGTGGCAGACGCAGGGCCTGTGGCAAGAGCCGGGTGCATTTGCCTTCCCCCGTGCCTTGGAGGGGGTTTATTTTTGGTCCTTGCTTTCTTACTCCCTTGCTGTCTACCTGCAGATCTTTGTATGCGCTTCCATGGTGGTTGACTACGGCAAGCTGCCCGCTGGCAAAACCCTCCTGAAGAACCTGCAGAAAGGCCACAGCAGCGTGCAGCTCGACTTTGACCACAAGAACACGCGTTGCAGAGTCGAGGGACCATTCACCGAGGTTCAGGCCTTCAGCAGAGACCTGCTGGGCAGCCTGAACCTCAAGAGCCAAGCAGCTGGAGCGACCCTGCCTCCGGGATCCAGCCACGTGGCCAAAGACACCAAAATGCACGATCACCAGCAAGTGCCTCCCTCCACTGGGTCAGCACTGAAGACCACAGCGCTGTCACGCTGGGACTACGGGAGCGAAGGGGCAGCTGGAGGCCCGTCACCTCGAGGCCCAGTGGATGGGGAAGCTGTGGGACAGCTGGAGGACTTTTCCCTCGTGATGGACTCGGACATTTACTTGTACATGCAGAGGCTCTGTGCTGCCGAGTACCAAGGTGTGCTGCAGCAGCACTTCGTGGATGTGGTGGACATCAGCAACGATGATATCACCATACTGTACCTCCAGCCGTCCCCGGGGACGTCTGGGGACACGGACGCCTTGCGACAGGCTCACCTGGCCCTGCAGCAGCTCTACCAGCAACTGGAACTGAGCTTGCGTAAGGAGAAGATCTCGAAGCGGGGACTGGATATGGACAGCCAGGCACTTGGGGCTCTGACACGTGAGCTGCAGGAGGTGTTCCCCTTGTTGCTTTGCCACGAGGATGGGAAGCAGCTTTACCTCATTGGAAACCTTGTTGATGTCTCGCAGGCCAAGCAGTACATCCAGCACTTCAGTGCCAGAAGCACCCCGCAGACGGTTGTCATGCTCAGCAGCTCCCAGCCCTCCCGGCCAGCAGTGTCCCACGCCACAGAGGCTGCAGGACACAAGCCCAAAGCTCCTGTGGACACCTCGTCCCCAAAACTGAGCCCAGGCAGGCCAGAAGGGAAAGCTGAGCACAAGCTAGCTGCCAACTTCAGCGCTCTGAAAACTGGCAGGTCTCAGGCTGGCCAGGGCCTCTTGCCGAGCCGGGACTCTCCTCCAGTGGGGCAGGTGCAGCTTTCTGAGAAAAACTCACCCGAGACGCATGCTCTGGGTCCCGGTGACCCCAAAACACCAACCCAGCTGTACCAGCCTCATGTCTCCGCACTGGTTTTGGGGTCAGCAGCGGCAGAGTCTCAGCAGAATGACCCCAAAGAACAGGACCGTGTGAAAGGAGGTGCCAGGCTTGCAAGACACAAGAGTCTGTCTGCCTTTGTGGGCAAAGAAAACAGCGCTTTGCAGCACCCTGGGGACTCCAAAGGCTCCGATCCCACCAAGCACTGTTCCCTTGCTGACACCTCTAGTACCTTTCGGTCTCTGAGCCTCTTTGACACCACAAGGAGCTCTTCTGCTTTCGACTCCAAACCCTCTGAATCCAGACCTGTGCTGCGACGCTCCAACAGCTTCTCGCTGCCAAAGCCAAAGGAAAGCAACAAGCCCCAAGACACCGTCAGGGCAGGCAGTGGAGGCAATAGGGTGAGTGAAGAAATGAGCCTGGACTCTCTGCAGTGGTCTTACCTGAAGGACGTGAACTGCTCTGCTATCGAGGAGTTGTGCAGGAGTGCAGGTGTGCAGATCTCCGAACGCTCTACCGGGGACTGCACGGTGCTGTCGTTGCAGGCAGAGGACAGGGCCAAGCTTCTCCAGGTGAAATGGAAAGTGGAAACTCTTGTGCAGAGGTGTCCCGACCTTGTGTGTCAGATCATGAGCTACTCCGAGCTTGCTGTCGAAGGGCCGGATGACGATGCCCTGAGTGAGCTGTGCAGCCTCTTGCGAGGCAGTTCCCTGCAGGTTGGGCTCAACAAAGACAAGTACAAGCTCTGTCTCGCCTGCCCCAAGGAGATGCTGCCAGGAGTGACTGAGGCCTTCCAGGTGTTTTCTTCCAGGAGGCTCCGTGCTCTGAAGTCTTCATCCTTGTCTCCAGGAGCAGAGAGAGCTTCGAGCCCGGGGCACCCCGGTGCTGTCCAGCCCAGCAGAAGCCAGGACACCGTGCTGGGGGCAGCCCTTCCCGACAGCCTGGAGTCCCTGCAGCTGGGCCTGCAGCTCCTGGACATTAGAGATAAAGCAGAGCACTCGGAGGTGCTCAGGGCTTTCAAGCTGCCAGAGGCCAAGGAAAAGAGGTCCCCGAGTCCTTGGAGGTACCTGCAAGCAGCGGGACAGGAGGAGGCCAACGACCACGTTGATCCTGGGGCTGTGCAAGGAGGAAGCGGCCTTCTCAGCCCTCCCGTGGTGGACAACCCGAGTCCTGGTGCTCCGAGGGAGCCTCAGGAACAGCCGAAGGCCAAACTGTCACCGGGGGAACCTGACATTGCGCGGCTAAAGCAGGTCTTGCCAGACAAATTCCAGTTTGCGAGAGACAGGAGCAGAGGAGGTCACAGCGACGCCGGGGGCCAGCTGCGGTCACCAATTCCCACAGCCGAGGGTGCACCTCGCTCCCTGCCCGCCTGGCTCTACGGGGCTACAGCTCCTGAACCGCCCCAGGCTGCGGCCGAACAGTCACCCACAGCGGAGTCAAGAGGCCAAGAAAGGAGCAGTTCGAGCAGGAACAGCACCCAGGAGGAGCCTGAACCCTCAACACCGCAGAAAAGAGGCCCCAGCCCTGGCCAGGAAAGCAGCAAGAGCCCCCTGGGCTGGTGCGATGCTTGCCAGGACTCAAGTGTGACCTGCCCGGCGCCCTGTGGGCACACCTTGTGCAGGACGTGTTTTGCAGCAGAGCAGCCAGCTTGCTGTGGTTCCTCCTCGGTTGCCCCAAGCTGCAAAGTCCCAGGGACCTTCAAGATCTCCTCCGTGTCTCAGAGCTTGCCTGGCTACTACCGGGACCTGACGCTCCAGCTTACCTACACCATCCCCGACGGCGTGCAAGGGGTAGGTAGCCCACCACAAGGGTCTGCCCGGCCTGCTGCGGGCCGTGCACTGAGTTCTTGGGGGTGTGGGGAGGAGGAGGAGAGGGGCAGCTCCATCTCCATGCCCCACGTGCAAAGCAGCAGAGGTATGGCCCCAAGAAAGGCAAAATATCACACGAGGTTTGGGAGCTGCTTGCTGCTTCAGAAGAACGTGTGAGCTCTTGAGTGGTCCAAGCACCTCGCACCCCACGGGGCCCACAGGTAGCTGTGTGTTTTCAAGCTGGACACTCTCAGAAGCCAGACCCGTGGTTGTTTATAATGTTTTCGTCTTGTTCTAAGGTTGGTCACCCCCATCCAGGACAGCCTTACAAAGGGGGATGTTTCATCGCCTTCCTTCCTGACAACAGGGAAGGGCAGAAGACAGCAATGCTGCTGAAGAAAGCATTTGAGCAAGGGCTGACGTTCCGGATAAAGTCCTGTGACGGAGAAGAAAGAGTGACGTGGGGCCTTATCCCTCACAAAACCTCCTGGCATGGAAGCAAAGCCAGGTATGGCCGCGGTCATCCCAAGCCCCCAGCTTTTCCTTAGCAATCGGAGGAGGAGAAACACTGGCCCCAGCTGAGCAAATCCTTGGAGCTGGGTGCTCCTCCAGGCTCCCACAGCACCAGAAGTGGTGCCTCCCTCCCACAGGTGTGGCAGACCAGCCCTGGCACCCTCCAGCTGGGACAAAGCCCTTACCCACCCCACACCCATAAACCCCCCCATGGCCAAGATTTCTGGTTCCCTTAGGATTTTCTTGACTTTTGCCCTGGCAGCTCTCTGCAGCCGGCTCTGCGTGCAGGCAGCAGCAAGGGGCAGCTCCTTGCAGCTCCCAGGGAGCAGGATTTCTCCCTTCACCCCCCCTCCGTTGAGAGGATGGGGCCAAAATAAACTGCTGCTGCCCTCGGCGGTTTTAGCACCATCAGCAGGATTTACACCACTTCCCTTTCTGCCCCACAGGAACGGCTATCCAGATGCCCAGTATCTCCACAAGGTTTGCACAATTTTGAAGAATTTGGGCATCGAGTGAGACTCCCCGCTGTGAGCAGCTGCATCCCGTGCCTTCGCTTCACCTCCCGTCCCAGTTGACAAAAACCACAGCTCAACACGGCTCAGGAAAAAGCAGGTGCTTGTCCAAGGAGCTCATTGCATCCCCGGAGGTAGCCAGAAACCTGCACTTTAGCTACAGCAGCCCCTCCATCCCCCAGAGCCTGAGCTTCCCCAAAACTCCAGCTCCTGCTGGCTGCTTATCTGCACCAGCCAGTTAACGACCAGCTTGTTCCAACACCAGATCCAGGCTGAGCCCCAGCGCAGCTTTTGACAGGGTGCCAATAAACCAAGCCTGGGCAGGAGCCTGCTTGTAGTCCAGCCCCACCTTCTGTAAATCTGTTCCCCCTCTTGCCACTGCAGGCAGGCTCCAGGTCAGCCACCTCCTGAGCCTGTGCCAGAGCCGAGCTATCATTAATTTCAGATGTTAATGTAGACATTTCAGCCCTCCAGCAGACAGCTTTGAGTTACAGCCCCTCCCCAGCACCTGCTCTGAGGACAGCAGGAAGCCTTATGCTCTCTTGGAGGGGGTACTAACGCGTTTCAGCTCCTCGGACAGCTGCTTCCCCTGACAATATACAGGCATGGACAGCCTCCAGGTGGAGAAACAAAAATAAACAAGATTTATTCCCACATTTTCAGTCGTGGTTGTCCACACCTTGTCTTACTGTCACCCTGAGAGCCCATTTTAATCTCAGCTGGTTCCAGAGACCCCCCACCACAGACTAAAGTGCAGAGATCAGCTAGGGACTTTGCAAGCACCGTCGCTGCCCTCCAGAACAGGGTGTTACAGGGATGATGCAACACTCGAGGCCATGATTAACAGTTGTCCTTGAGAGCAGAGGCAGCCTCTCGCCCTGGAAGAGCTGCTGGGATCTGTAAACTGAACGCACCCACCCACTTAGTGCATGCAGGGGTAATGCAAGGGCTGCAGAGGCTGAGCTGAGGACAGAAGGATCGTTCTGGCAGAAGACTGAGCAGCATGCCACTGAGAGTTTTGTTATGCTTTTAATTAACATTTGAAACACATAAGGCATATGGTAACATTAGACAGAGGAGCATTACACATTATAGTCATGTAAACAGCATTGGCACACTTGCTTTCTGTCCAACTTGGTTACACGCACAAAGCGGAATATATTTTTTTTAAACAAAAGATTTTTCCAAGTGTCTGTAGGGTGAGCATCACTCGTATCACAGATCTGCAAATCAACACAACTCAGACAGTACAGACCAGACCATATGTTGTAAGAGGCTCAGAGTCTAATGCCTTTCCCATCACGCTCATGCACTACTTGCCAGCCACACTTTGCCATCACCAGGGCTTCACACACCAGAGACTTCATTAGGCAACAGTGGTTTTACACCTATGATAGCAGCTGAGAGTGGCCAGCATCCTGCACTGATTAAAGCCTGAGGCTCACGCTGCCTCTCTCTTGTCACTAGTCGCTCACTTTTAGTTTAATACAGGTGGCCAAAATGAAATAAACAGCTAAGCTCCTCACCCCCCCCTCCTAAAGCACTTAGCAGGGGTCACGCTTCTCCGTGCAAGCTGCTTTCCTTCTTCTACCCTTCACATGCAACACGAGCTTGAGAGAAACTGAAAGTCAGAAATGTGACAGAAGCTGCCTGGTGATAGCAAAGGAGTTGCATTTTTCCCCCAGGACCGAAAATATCAGTCTGGGAAGGCGACTACAGCAAGGACATTGGAGTGACACGTGGACAGGCATCCCTGCCAGAGCCAGGGGAGCCTGTCCTGCACTTCAGTCCTCATTACTCACATTTTTTTTGCCTGGACTCTTCTCCTCATGGCACAACCTTTGGGTCAGACAAGCAGTAAATAAACATTGAATTGCACTTCTGATTGCAGGAACGGCACACACAATCTAAGCACAGTAAACTCCAATTTCCTTGATAGTATGACTTCTATTTTTTATTTTTTTTTTTGCCCTAAACAGTTAAGCAACATTCAGTGGAACGATTTTTCAGCCTAGGTTTTTGTTTGTTTGGTTTTGCTTTGGTCCTTAGTATATAAACCTGCTGGTTAGCTTTAATGCATTAAGACACTTGAAGTTGTTTTGCACAGGTTATTGGCCCATAAAATGCTTATCCATTAAAAAAAAAAAAAAAAAAAAAAAGGAAAAATAAAGGAAAAATAAAGACTACTACTAAAAACAAACAAACAAGAAAAAAGAAAACCACAGAGCATTAATCAGTGAGGCAGTGAAGAGCAAGGTTACATTTAATCTTGGTCTTTCTGTAGAAAACATTGTTGCTACTGAGGGACACAGAACGGTGCTAAACTCTACCAGAAGGCCATAGCAATTGCTTAGCACTCACACCCTGATAAGAGCTTCAGGAATTCGCAGGTAGAAAATACATTAGCAGCTCCCCTACGAGCATAAGGAGCCCTGATTGTTTCCAGGAAGCCAAGGCAGTGCCAGCTGATAAAGCCTCGCTCGAGGACCCGGCTCTGAGCCAAATGGGCACCCGGGGGAGACCTCTGCGGCTGCTTTAGAGCAGCAATTTTGGCTGCAGGAGCACAGGCGTCCAGGAGAGCCCTGCACAGCCCGTGACATGGGCAAAGGGAGCGTCACGTTCACACTAAGCCACACTACAACACCGGTGTTCACGAAACAGAGCTAGCAAGGATCATAATAGGTATGTTTGTTTTTTTTTTGGCAATACTTTGAAAGGCCAGAAGAGAAAAGGCTCCGGTGACTTCCCAGTCCTTACGGGCACACAGAAGAAGGCACCGAGATTCTGCTCCGTGGTGTATCGCAAGGCAGCAAGGCAGAGCAGCCCTACAGCAAGCTGCAAAACTCCCACCCTCCTCCTCCACATTCTGTCGGGAGGGAGCGGGCCGTGAAGCCCTTGCTGTGTTGCCTTAATCCAAGGCCATCCAAGTAAGGCACTGAGCACGCTCTTGGCTGAAAGTAAAGCAAGGAGAGGACGTTACAGTAAACCACAATTTGACAGCTTTCCCCTTTACAGCCGCGCAGGACCTGCAGATCTGCAGCGTGGTGTGCCCTTCGAACACGCTGCTCTCATCAAGGTGAAGTCGGGTTTCAGGGAGGAGCAGGTCCAGACTTCCCACTGCAGCAATTTAGCCAGCCGTTGTGTTGGCAGACCTGGTAAAGCAGCATTAGACACTGTTGGATTGGATCTAGATTAGCATGAGAGGGGCAGGTTGAAAGGAGCAGCAGCAAGATTTGGGATTCAGAAAGGTTTCAAGTTGTGCTTCTCAATTTCGTGCCACCGTGCCTGTGGAGTTCGCTTATCACCTGCAAGGGATGGAACAAGCGCCTGTGCCTGGGCTCCTGCCCTTCCCCAAGGCCAGAGGGAACGGGGTTGTCTTAAAGCTAGCCAAAGAGTCCTCTGGGGTCTCTGCCTCCACGTTTTTAATATGCACTGGACCAAGGGATCGAGCCCAAGCACCTGAAAACAAGCTGCACTGCCAGCGAGGAGCACTGGTGGGGAGGAAGAGCAGGCAGAGGAAGATGCCCAGGAACCCAGGAACACTGAACCTGCCCAGGACCCCTCGCTCCCTGCCAGTGTTTGCTCTCCAGCAGCCGAGGGGCTTCCCAAATGGGTCCCTTTGCTCCTTCCTTCTCTGGAGTCGGGATAAGCGGGACACGGAGCAGCCAGCCTTTGCTCCTGGAGCCTGAGCTCACCGACAACAGGCAGCTCTCCTCGGTGCCCTCTGGCTTACCTTTTAAAATCCCAAATGGAGCCTAAAGCCCTGCAGGACCTACAAGTCGTGGCAAAGCCTCCGGCTGCTGAAGCAAGCTCCAGCAGCACCACGGTCACTCGGGGCTGGGCAGGGCAGGAAGCGGGGGCACCACCCAGGACACGGAGTGCTCGCAGAACTAGGCTTGGGTGTCTGCACAGCTCCGTTTCCAAACATAACGAAGAAAGAAAAGAGGAAGAGAAGCCGAGAGCTGGTCTGGGAGGAAACCCCAGGCAGTTCCTAAAGCCTCAGTGCTGGAAGGGTCCTGAGAGGGGAAGAGGAGTCAAACCCTACTGCAGCACCGACCCACGAGGTGAGAGGTGGTTAGAGGATGTCTTAAGAGCTCGCTAGAAGAGAAGGGAAAGCGTGATTTGAACTGTTCCAGATGCCCAAGCCAAGAGGCTTGACAGAGCCGGACACTTTGCCACCTACACTTGTAACTCAGTGACAGCCTCCTGGGGGGATGTGGCACACGAGGAGCCAGCGCCGAGCCCCGTGCAGCAGCCGTGGTTCTCACAAGTCACTTCCCAAACTGCAGCTCTCCCCAGCGCACAGGGCACGGCACAAAGCAAGCATTAACAGGGGCTTATTTGTTCCCATCTTGCTGAAGTCTGATTCAACCCTGCAGCCCTTGGAAATACAAAACACGAGGGTGAAGTTTAGCCTTAACAATACCAACTTGGAGCCCAACATTAATAAAGCACAGAGCCAACATCAATTGTTCCAGTCATTCGAGACACAGTTGAGTCCTTATGGTCTCTAAAAAAATCAGACACAGTTTAGATCTCCCTGTACAGTTTGGAAGCAGAAAATGGACAAGATCAAGTTACCCAACTGAAACTTCTCCTCTGTGTTCAGAGACCAGCCCGGGCTGTTGGATTATTTGTTGCCTGCACGAAGAAGTGACTGCAAATTAAGTGCAATATGGTATAGACTCCAAAAAGCCAGAGTTATTTACAAGGCAAAGGCAACTGCTACTATCTGACTGGTGTTAGAGGCCAGCAGAGGGGAGAAAGCAGGGTTAGTGTGAGCAGAGGGGCAGACAGAGCTAGAATTAAACTAGGGCAGCCACGCTTCTCCTGTGGCTGTTTAAGAAACATCCTCAGCCTGCCCATTCTCCTACTGAAACGCTTCTCTAAGGTGACAGTGCAAATGCTTCAACGTGGGCTGGGTTTTTGTGGAGCTGCTTGGCAGTCCCTATAGCATTTTGCATCTTCACAGTGACAGCCTCTGCAGCTGCTAATCACCAACTGCCCGGAAGCTTTGACTGTGCTGCCAGGGGAAAAAAAATAGGATTAGTTTGGGATTTCAGCATGGAAACAAGTGATTAGAGAGATGTATGAAATAATCAGGCTTCAAAACAGAGAGCTAGGGCAGGAGGCATATCTGGTAAAGGGTCAGTCACAACGGGAGCAAGCAAACCTCATCTGAACTTTAAGCACGATGTTCTTGGACTGGTGAAGGAGGAAGCTACTGATCTGTCCATTTCCAGGTCCCAAAGAGAGCAGGGAGTTAAACCATGAATTCACAATCTGCACACATCGCTCTCCTCCTTAGTTCTCCTCTTTTTTGGATTCTTCCTTGGGTGCTTCGGGAACCAGGATGACCTTTCCAACATTCTTCTTCTCTTGCATCTGCCTCATGGCATCTGCCACCTGCAAACGAGGGGAGCCCCGTGAGACCCGCAGCCCCCACGCGGAGCAGCCATGCCCCTCCTGCGCCCCCACAGCCCCCTTGCAGCTGGAAAAAAAAAAGCCATTTTCAGCATTGTGCTTCGCTGCCTGGGCTCTCCTCCACTTGCAGAGGGGCAGCAGCAACCTCCCCAGCTGTCGGTGTAATTAAAGGGGGCAGACTCGGGGTGGTTCGCAGCCCGGTGCACAACCCCATCCCTCCACGGCTGCTGCTGCCCACAGAGTGCAGCTGAGCACCTGCCCTGCTCCGTGGGGACGCTGTCTGGCATTGCCCAGCTCCGTGCACCGGAGCAGAAGAGCCCAGCCACTTTAAGCTCTTAAAAGGGCGCTGAACATCTGAGGACAGATGGCTGTTGGAACTGCTCAGCCCCCATGGAAAAGGCGCTCAGCCTCAAGCAGAGCGCCCCGTGCAGAAAGCAACCACCCTGGGCTTTTTGTCAGTCCGTATATCAGCTCCGACTCACCTGATCAAAGGGCCATACAGAGTCTATTTTGGGCTTGATCTTGCCTTGATTGTACAGGCTAATCAGCTTGGCTACAACTCCTCCGATGAGCTCGTATTCTTCGTCCATGTAGCCGAGGTGGTAGCCGCACACTGCCTTGTTTTGGTGTAGGAGCTGCAGGGCGTTGATGCTGAATTGGTTCCACCAGGTTTTGGCCATGGCCATGAGGTTCTTCTTCTGCCCAGTGAGCAGGTTTGCTACCCCTAAAGGGAAGACAAGCCACGGATGAACTGGGGTCAACGCAACACAAGAGGCAGCTCGGGCAATAGCCAGGGTAGCACAGGATATGGTGCTGGGGGCAGTGCTGGGAACTGGATTGCATCAGGAGCTGCCCAATAATTTCAGTGAAAGCAGGTCCCCGCTTTGGGCTCAAGATTTGGAGCATCAGCACCTGCATATTGCAAAAATCTAGAAGTCATAGAATCACAGAATATCCCGAGTTGGAAGGGACCCATAAGGATCATCGGATCCATCTCCCGGCACCACGCAGGTCTACCCAAAAATTCATACCATAAATCTTGGGAGGGCAGCAGCAGTGCAGCTAGGCTGGAGCCCTGGCAGAGGCAAGAGGGGGTTACAAGTCCCAGGCTGGCTTGTGGGACAGCATTCCCCCTCTCCTACAGCCAGGCTCCCCCAGGGAAGCCACACGCTGCAAGGGCCAGGACAGAGGCAGCACACTGCCACAAGTGTCTGGAATCCCACTGGGGGCTGTGTGAGGGCTTTGTCTCCAGGGACAAAATCGCAGTGTTTCAGGGCTGGGGAATGGAGGGATAAGTATTCAGTAGCCTCAAACCTCATCACCCACACATCCTCTAGAAAAAAAAAAAAAAAAAAAAAAAAAAAAGCAAGGCTCTATTAATGCTGAGCATTAATCAGCCTGGACAAAGCAGCTGTGCCAGGGTTCCTCGTGGGGACATTCCAGCTTCCCCTGCGGGCACTGGCTCATACTCGGGGAGAGGTCTCACCATGGAAGGGAAGAGAGCTGGAGCCTCTCAGTGTCCGCAGCCCTCGGGACAAAGGTCAGTGCCTCACCCAGGCGAAGCATCCTAAAAACCTTTGTGAAAACCCCAGAACTATGACAGAGGCGGCTGGCAGCACCCGTGAGGCTCCCTCCTGGCCCCACACCCAGGAACGGAGCAGAGCGGACGCGCACCCTCTTGCACCAGAGCTGGGGCTGGGACAGGCTGCTCACACTCACCGTAAGTGATGAGTTTGCCCATTGGCTTCAAGAGGTGAAATGCTTTGGATGTGTCGGATCCGCCCAGGGGGTCCAGGACAATGTCCACACCTAGAGGGAACAGAGAGCAGCTGGAAGCCTTTGTGCCTGAAAGGAGCGAGGGCTGTTGGAGAAGTCCTCCAGCACACGGTACCTTTGGGAGAGATTTTCCGGACCTCCTCTGCATAATCCATCGTCCTGTAGTCAATGGGGTGGGCGACCCCACTCTCCTTCAGCGAGTCGTGCTTGGAAGCGGATGCTGTGCCGAAAATGGTGACGTTTTCTACTGTCTTGCACAGCTGGATGGCAGCAGTTCCCACGCCACCTGAAAACCAGCAAAGAGAAAAACTCAGAAGCAGACATGGGAGGAAGGCTCTGCCTGGATGGGAGGAAGGCTTGTGGTGTGTGCTGGTGGGGATTGACCCAGCCTACTGGGAAATGGGACTGCAGGTGATGCTTTGCTGGTCCAGCACCGCTCTCTGCAGCTTCACCAAGCCCCTGCGAAGAAGCCACACGCTGATGCCGGGAGCCTCAGCATGGGCTGGCGAGGATAACTGACCTGCAGCCATGTGGATGAGGACGCTCTGGTTGGGTCTCAGGTTCCCAAAGTCGAACAGGATCATGTAGGCAGTGATGTAGTTGACAAGGAGAGCAGCCGCTTCCTCGAAGCTCATTCCCTCGGGCATCGGGAACGTCTGCCCGGCCGGCACGTTCACGACCTCTTGCCAGAGCCCAGACCTGGCCAGGACCATCACCTTATCACCAACCTAAAACCAAACAGACAGCAAGGAGGTGTGAAACGAGCTTAAAACAAGCAGAAATCATCCTACTCTTGGTCTTGCTACAGCAGGACCTAGCTGAGCACTGGCTGTTGTGGTTATTTCTGCTACCCCGCAGCAGGATCTGCCTGCCAACAGGCATGATGCTTGGGGCGATGCTTCAACAATGGGATCTACCCTGGAAAAAAGCTTTAGGTAAAGCTTTAAGCCTAAGCTTCCGCAAAAGCTGCTCTTATCCCATGGGGCAAGGAGCATCTGCTCAGCGTGCAGTGGGAAGGAGACCGGCTAAGACCCAGGGAGCCGCATCGGCGAGCAGACAAGAGGCAGAGCGAGCAGAAAGGCTCCTCGTTGTGTGGGTTTGGCATTCATGCTGCAATAAACCGAGATGTTTTCCTGGAGATGAGGGGATCATCCCTAACAAACAAGGCTTTTTGAGGCACTTTGTTTTGCTAATTGTGCATCCAAGAGGGATCTCGATGGGGTGTAACTGCACTAGCCCGGAGACCCAAGGCTCTGGGACACCCGGGGCGAGCTGCTCTGCCCTGGGACTTTCTAGAAAGGCAGCAGCCGGAGGCTCACTGGCCACAAACCCCAACACCGTGGGCAGCCAGCAGCTAACACCCAAAGCTCAGCACCCTTAGGGCACGCTGGACACCTAGTCAGAAGCTGGAGCCATTTCCTTGTATGTCCATGTAGTCCGAAAGGAAGCAGAGCCATGCAGAAATAGCACGGTCATGCTTCAGCCCTTTGTGCTGCTCAGCGTCGAGAAGACATTATTGGTGCAAAGCTCAGCCCCTTCGGCACAGGATCTCCTCCCAGGGGCCTCAAGGCCCCATGAGGGCAGACTGGCAGCGATGCTCTCACCACCCCAAATCCTGGGGCAGGGCTTTGGGGCAGGATTTCTGCGCTGCGAGCAGCCAGAACCCGGCAAAAACCCAAACCGGAGCCCCTTGGTGATGGTTGGGATGCTTCTCGTGGGCACCCAGGGTGCAAATCTCAGCTGTGGCACTGGGAGATGATGGGAGATGGGAGACGATGATGGGAGATGGGAGATGATAATGGCAGATGATGGGAGATGATGGGAGATAGGAGATGAGATGATGGGAGACAGGAGGTGATGAATGAAGACGGGAGGCAACGGGAGACCCCCCCTCCAACCTCCCCACCCCACCGCAGCCCCACCACCGATGCCGCAGCTCCGGATCCCTTCCCGGGGCCTCGCACACAACCGGAGCCGTTGGGGCTTTAGGGAAAGGGAAAAAAGAGAAGGGAAGGACCGGAGCCGGGCCCCCTCCCACCTGGCGATCGTTGACTCCATCCCCCAGGGCGCAGACGGTCCCGGCGCACTCCATCCCGGGGCAGACGGGCGGCGGCGGCAGGCGGTCGTAGAGCCCCTGGCGGGCCAGCAGGTCGGCGAAATTGAGGCCGCAGGCACGGACCCGCACCGACACCTCCCCGGCTCGGGGGCCACCGCCCCTCCGTGTCTGCACCTTCACCTTGTCGTAGCCACCGAAACCCGTCAGCACCAGCGCCCGGTGCTCCGGGGGCTCCCCGCCGCCGCTCGTCGTCGTTGTCGCCGTTGTCGCCGGTGTCGCCACCGGAGGCTCGGGGGTTTGCTCCGGGGGGGCTGCGGAGGCCGGGGCCGGCTCGGTGGACATGGCGGAGAGGAGAGGAGCCGAGCTGCGGGATCGGGATCGGGATCGGGATCGGGATCGGGACCGGGGCGGCGGCGGCGGCGGGCGGGGAAAAGCCGGAGAACGGGGCGCGGCCCGGGGGGGCGGGCCGGGGGCGGGGGCGGAGCGGCGGGGCCCCGTTCAACCGGGCCGGGGCTGGAGGGGAGGCGCTGTCCGCGGTCCCGGTGCCGGTTCTGGCAGCCCCACTTCACCCCCCCGAGGTCCCAGGGTCGGTCCCGGTAGCCCCCCCTTTCCCCACTGCGGACCCGGGGCCGGTCCCGGTAGCCTCTCTTCACCCCCCCCCGAGGTCCCGGTGCCCGTCCCTGCAGCCCCCTTCAACCCCCGAGGTCCCGGTCCCGATCCCTGCAGCCCCCCCGCAGCCCGGTGCTGCCCCCTCCGCCCTTTGCCGCAGCCCCGGTTCGCGCCCCCCACCCTGCAGCCGGTCCCCGGGGCCGCCCCGGTCCCTCCCGGGGCAGGGTCCCCGGTGGCAAAGCCCCGGTTGCGGCCGTGCAGCGGCTGCGGTTCGGGGCTTAAAACCCCAAAGCGCCCTGGGGCTGGGGCTGCAGCAGCTCTGCCAAAAACCACGGCTCAGCTCCCTGCCTGCCTCCTCCCTCCTGCTCCCCAAGCCCCCCCCCTTTTTGTGCTAAATGATTATTTTTCAAGAAAAAAGAAAAAAAAAAAAAAACTGCGGCGTTGCTGGAGCCCCGCTTGAAATGGCTGTTGTGCCGGGGTGCCGCCTCGCCGAGCTGCTCCTCGGATTTATTGTGGATAACTGACTGAGGTCACTTCCAGGGAGGTTTCGTAACCAGCTCCCTCCTCACGGCCCTGAAATGGCTGCGGGTGTTGGAGACGAGGCACGGGCTGGCTGCCGGACGAGGAGAAGGAGGAAGAGGAGGAGGAGGAGGAGAAGGAGGAGGAGGAGGAGGAGGAGGAGGAAGAGTGCAGCTTCAGTCCTGAGACTCCAGGCGGATAAACGAGGCCGGGAGTGAAGCTGGATCCATGGCTCCTGCCTCTCCTCCTCCTGCTCGTGGAGCAGCTGCCAGCAGGCAGCAACCCTCTCCATGAATTCGCTGCCTGGGTGTGCGTGCCCAGCTCCTGGGGTGGCCATCGGTGGCTGCTGCAGTGCAATGTGAAGCCGGACCCGTTGGGATGTGCCAGGCGAGCACATCCTCGTCCCCCTGTCCCACAGCACCTCCAGAGTGATGGTTTGAGCCTGCACAAAGAGGAACATCCACCCCCCCCCAAAAGAAAACAAACACAAAGACCATCTCGTGGGGACTGAAACACGCACGTGGGAGGTTTCTGTGCTGCTCCAGTGCTCCAGAATTTCCCCAGCCAAGGCCAATCGGGCGCACCGCCCGCTTTGGGCAGGGCGCTCCCAGCACCGCTGACAGATTTGATGGAAGGTTTTGGCTGAGCAGCGGATGAGCAAACCCCGGTGCTTCCAGGGGCTTTGTTTGAGACAATAATCCCACTCTTCAGCGGTTGAGGACAGGGGCCAGCGGCGGCTCTGCGTGGCCGTGGCCCCGTCCTGCAGGGCTGCGGGGCCGTGTGGGGCTGGGGGGCGGCTGGGACCTGGGACGGGGCTGCTCAGGAAACCGAGCACAAAGGCAGGAAAAGAGCCAGAGGCCTGGAGCAGGCTGCAAATCATCTGGTCCTGCCGTGTGGCATATTTACGGGTATTGGGGCGGCTGCAGGGAGAGCGAGGAAGAGGCTCACGTCCCGTTGCATGACAAGAGCTCAGGGCAGCTCGGAAAGTTGCTTTGCCCTTTTATGCTCCGTGTCTTGGCTCGGAGAAATGCAGATGTGACCGAATTCATGATGTCTGGGCATCTCTCGGGCCCAAAGTTAGGAAGAAGCGGTCAAAGCCCAATCCTATCTCCCACCGGGAGCTGTCCCAGCATTTCTCCTGTCGGTGATTTATTTTCGCTGTCGTCAGGATGAGACCAGCTGGCCAGGAGGGAGTCCCTGCCAGGCCCTTCGGAGGCACGTGAGATGAGGGGATGACCCCCAAAAGCCCAGTGCTGGATGAAGTCAGCGGGATTTGGGAATCAGGTTCCCCTCCTGCTCGGCTGCTCCAGCTGCACGCAGCTGTAAAGCAGACAAAGAGATTTTTTTTGCAGATGGGCAAGTCTGCTCGGGCAGGCTGCTCTCATCGCCTTTGTCTCTTTTGTGCTCCCAGGCCAATCTCTCCTTATCAGCCCGGCTCAATCACATTCTCCCTGCAAATCTTGCTTCATTTGGTAAACTTCGTGTTCTGCTGCGCCGGCCTTCCCCCTGCGTGCAAGCTGCAGGCGTGGGGGGCAGAGCTCTGGGTGCTGGCCTGCGACTGCAGCTGCAGAGCTCAAATCTTGCAGAGCTGCGGCCCCAGCACGGCCCAGCGCTGGCTGCTGTGGGATGGGACGCTTGCGTGGGCTGCTGGGGGGGATGCATTAGCCAGGAAACCCACAAGTTTTCCTGGTGGAATTGGTGCTCCCTCCTCCTCCGCCCCGTTTTCCAGCAAGCTCTCCAAATGCAGGCCCTTTCGAACGGCGTCGGTTTGGGATTTACAGCCAGAGACGGGCACTGGGCAGCTGGGAAGCTGCTCCCATCACCTCCCTCCCCAGTGCTGAGGGTTTCAGCAGCCCTGTGCCTCACCCTGAGCTTTCCAACAGCCCCCCCGCTGCCTCCCCCAGCCCCTGGCAGCCAGCGAGGAGCAGGATGCCCCTGCAGCAGCCTGAGCCCGCCCGCCTGCCTCTTTGTTCCACCTCCCTTTCTTTTCACTCAGGGCTCTAACAATCCCTCTCCTTTGCTCTCAAGGACACAGGAACCACAGCGGGCAGGAGATAAGGCAGCCTGGCAGAGGGATGCTAGCGTGTAGGGCTCCCCACAGCCGTGGTCTTGACACCAGAAAGGCCCCCAAGTGGGGGCAGATCCCCCAAAACCAAGGCTGCTGGAGAGCCTGTGCGGACCAGCTCCAAACCTGCAGGTGAAGGGCTCAGAGCAGAGCTGGAAATGGGGCTGGGGGCTGCAGCCAAACCCAAAAGGGCTCTGGGGCTCGGAGGGATGCCCACAGAGCTACAGCACGTGTTGACCCCGTGCGCATTTCTCGGGGTGCGTAGGGCTCTCCAGAGGCTCCTCCTGCCTCTGCTCTGCCTTCTGCTCCCCCGTGCCTGCCGTGGGTTGGGACGCACAAAGCAGCAGCCCCGGAGGAGACCTCCCGGCTTCGTCACCGGTGGCGGGAGCGTGGTGCCACGGCGGGCGGCGAGACGGAGAGACACGGAGATGCGCCAGGCAGCGCGGCAGGTGGAGCAGATCTGCCACCAGCCCCCAGACGAAGCTGCCACTCACCGGCGCTGCTGTTTTGATCACGGAGACAATGGAGGCAATTGTGGAGCGCTGAGCGGCGCTGGGCGGGTGTCACTTCGCTCGGCAGTGACAGCAGGCAGAGGGAATCCTCCCAGCGCCGCCGCTCCCTTCACCAGGGCTGCTCCAGCACCTTGCCGTGCACCAGCAGAGGCCGGGGAAGCAGCAGGTTCCTCTCCCAGGGGGTGCACAGAGCAATCCCATCTCCTGTCCCCCTCTCCTACAGCCCCTGGAGACATCCAGTGGTGTGAGGATCCTTCTGCAACCCCAACCTTCCGATGCCTTCCTGCCAATTACGGTCCAAAAAATTACAGGCTTCGAGCCTCCGGCACGCTGTGCGCCCATCAGCGGGGTGATTCCTTGGCCAGCACGCCCCAACACGCTGCGAACGGGGCTGCTCACCTCCAGGGGGGCGTGCTGGGGGCTCCAGGTCATTTCCTCCATCCAGAAAAAAAAAATCGCAGCGGTAATTGAGGTATTGTGTCTCCTCCGACTGCAGCACACACGCTCCGACTGCAGTCTCTCCAGCAGCAGCCCTGTCAGTTGAATGGCTCCTTGCTTTAATCCCTGAGATAGCTGAAGGATGCTGCTTTCATCTGATAGCGTTTATGGACTGTTATAATGAGCTTTGGCTTGCTGAGATAAATTAAATTGCTCACCCAGAGGTGCAAACTTCATTAATGCCAGCCGCGAGTCAGATCAGCATTATTCCGGCACAGAACATAAACAGGCTGGACACATGAAAGGGGATTTGGCTGGCACTTTTTTTTTTTTTTCTTCTTTCTCTTAACCCCTCTAATTGCTGTTGATTTGTATCTTTTGCTGTGTGTGTTCAAACTCTTTGCTTCTCCACCTCTTCATCTTCCAGGGGAAGCCATCCAGTAACACACCGTTCAGGACCGGCTGCTGAACGCGAACAGTTAGCGGGAAGCTGCAGTTTTGCCTGGCAAGTTCCTCGTTCTTTCACATATTTCACAGGTCCAAACAGCCACTTAAGAATAGAGCTCATGAAAAATTAAAGCTCGAGCCTGTCCCTTGTTTCTGTCCTGGTTTAGAGTCTCACCAGGGAAAATTCCACCGTGGAAATAAGACGGCGCGGACGGAGGCGAATGGCACAGCAGTGGTTGTTTATGAAGTATCCACTCACACCCCATCAAAATACAGAGAAAGTGGTAATGAATAATGTGATGGGCACGGGCAGAGCTCAGTGGTGACACTCACGCACCTCTCAGGTCCATTCACCTGCTTCCCCACGGCTTAAATCAGGAGCAGAGTTTCTCCAAACCCTGCGTTTGGATGCGTTACACCAGGTCCTGAGGCTCTGCGCAGGCACAGGGCCAAGCTGTCAGAGGCTGCGGGTGAAGGATGGCTTCTCCCAGCGCCCTTTTCCAGTCCTGGTCCTGCGGAGGTCACTGGTTTCCTTGTCCAGGAAACGACACGAACACGACGCCGTCGATTTAATTCGGAACAGCCACTCACCCCCCCCACCAAGAGCACGGAGCAGCAAGGCAGGATGCGGCCACTGGAGGAGCATTTTTGGGAGCAAATGTGTCGGAGCCATCTGTCGCCTCCCCAGCCGTGGTGACAGTCACAGCACGTCTCTCTCCCTAACCCGCTCTGAAAGCTGACACCGGCGCTGGAGGTTGCCCTAACAGCTATTTTGCAAGCCTTTCCTGCCAAAAGGTGCGTGGCACCAAATGGGACAGCAGCGACCCTGCCCCAAGGGGCTCCGAGCAAAAGGTGCTCTCAGCTGTTTGCCCTCCCCGGGGGGAGGCAAATGTGGCTGTGGGAGGTCGCAAAAGTCTGAATATTCGGGGCAGAGGAAGTTTTCTGGTTCCTCCGAAGCCGGGCCAGAGTAATCTGTGGGTTGGAAGGATAAAAATGAATTCCTACTGAGAAATGTGGTGAAAAGCTTTCAGATGAAAGGGTGTCAGCCTGGGGACACAGATGGCCATGAGGGCTCCAACTGCAGTCATAA